CCTTGCTGTTTTTGTGTTATATGCAGTGCATTGTAAAAACCCAACAGTCAACTTTATCAAATGAAATGAGTATAGTTTAGTCTCGACAAACAAGAAAAAAGAAAGGTATTGGAGAGGGCAATGCCTGAGCTGTGTGATTAACCCATTTTGTCTGGGTCCACTTACTCCCTGGAGTCCTCTGTGGTTCTCCTGGATTCTAGTTCTGGGTTCACTCTGGTCGGGGTTCTAGTCTGGGCAGTGGCGTTAGGTCACAAGCTTTTATAAGGATGGTTTTGTACCCACCCTCCAGTGCCGAATTGAGCAATATGAAGTTAACTCCCCTGAGGCATGTTTTATAGTCTTTGTTTCAAAGCGTAATGATTTGCAGAGGCATTCTGGGCGTAAACTGATGCGGAAATGTTCAAAGCTTCTTAAAATGTTAATATGTTGCATACGTATTTACATAAACAATCGTTCAGTACACCAAATTAGCTTTGCAATGACATCAAACATGAACCATCTATGATCTTGTTCAGCTGTGGTAGAGTTAAACATTGATTGCAGAAGCATTAAAACCATAATATTAATACGTGTGTTACAATCTTTTTAGGTCTAGGGATTGACCGCAACAGAAAATAAATGATTGGTGGTGGATGATGTGCAATGGCTGGAACGTAACAGAGAGAGAGAACTAGTCTTCTCAAACAGAATGGCTAAAAACTTAAACAAAATCAAAATCAAGAAAAAGAAGTTTTACATATAACAAAAAAAAAAAAAAGAAAAAAACAGGGTAACAATTCAGAAGGGGCCAAGGCCAAAAAAAAAATAAATAAATAAAAAGACAAAAACAAGCTCCTAATGTAATCTCTTGCTAATCTGAAATAAAAGAAACAAAAATAGATAAACTAACTCCCTTTACTAACAAACAGGAGAAACCTGATTTCAAAAAAAATAAATAAATAAATACCTAGCTTCCAACTTAACCCTCAAAATAAACAAATCAACCAGACTAACTTCTCTTTGGGTGAATTATTAGATGTTAACAAGAAGATCATTGAAAGTAGAAGTTTGACTCCAATAGCTTCACCACACAGGAGCTATTTAAGTCAAATCAAATCTTTAAAGCTCTAATAAACAACAGGTCTGTATGTTGAGAAGAGCTCAGCCACTGCACATTCTTGCCACCATCCACACTGTTTTTTTCTTTTTCTTCGTTGATTTTTATTGGCGGTTGGCAAACAACTTTATGATGCATTTCCGCCATTTACTGGTTAGGAGTGTGGATCAGAATTGAATATATATATATATATATATATATATATATATATATATATATATTTATTTTTTTTTTTTTCCTTTTATACTTATTAATTTATATTCTATTATACAACCCAGTTTCTCTAAGAAACATTAATAAAGCTTTCAATTTACTATCTCCTACTCTACTACTTAACATACTATTAATATCTATATTTACCTTATTTTCCTCAATGTCTATCATATTCCTTTTCAACACTGGTTTGAAGTGCAGCTCAGGTTAAATACTCTCTCTTCTCTCCCAACAGCCAATCACTAGAAAGATCCAATGATCGCTACCAGGTGGACACAGTTACCTGCAGGGAGAAAGAGACACACAGAGAGAGAGAGAGAAAGAGAGAGAGAGAGAGAAAACACAAAGCACATTGTGCACACCAAAAGATACGTCTCAGGACGTAACAATGAGCTACAGGCTTGTTGCAAAACACCTGATCTTACATAAAGAGAATAAAAGTTTACAATAAAAGCATCAGTCTTAAGCAATGATATAAGTCCAGTTCTGAGCCTTCCTTTGTGTCGTAAATACCTTGGAATTGGATTACAACTGACCATCCAGTCTTTTACTGGGTAGGAGAAGTTGATAGTGTATTATTTGTTGAACAAAAGCTGAATAATTATGTGTCTGATCGGCCATATTCATTACAGCATCTGTATAATTCTTCAGTCAGGAGGGTATGAATAATAATCCATCGATTTTGTTTTCATACTTGTCGACTCTTGGCATTTCAGCAAGGTGTTGTTGGCAGCACTCAAAATGCAGATCTTTTGATCATCAACACAGTAAATTTAATCCGTCTGTTTCCCAACCGGATCTTTGTTCAAAGAGAAAAAAAAAACCACTCACTCCCACATACTCATAATGCAAGATTTTCTCTTTGAAGATGACTTCTGAAGGATGATGATGGTGCGTTGAGGTGATTCTGCTCTTCAGATGTGCCCTCCCTTACAGTCGAGATAAACATTCCACTCTATCAGAATCAAGGCGCCCTTCAGCTAAAAAGAAAACACGTCAACACAGAGATAGAAAGAATCTTTATAGACCAGACACCTGAAGAGATGAGATAATCAACTTTATGTGGAAGTTGCCTTTCATAACTGTGTTTGAAAAGGTCTAAAGTGTGTCTCACTATCTGTTTGTGTGTTTTGTCTGTGGGTTATTTACTGTATATCTCATAGCTGTGTCTGTGGTAGAGTCTACATCAGTGTTACTGACAAAGTTAATAGCTGATATAAAAAAGTTATAAATGACTATTAGTGATTACAAGCTGGTGACTGCACATTTTTCAACTATATATTAAGTGGAAAACAATTGAGGATATTCAGTGTTCATAATACTTCAGTATTTTAACAGTAGGGAAACGAATCACTCCATAACTCCCAGACACACTACTAGTTCTTATATTTTACTTTATATTATTTTATTTTTAATTTAATTTAATTTAATAGTTTTTATCCAATGTTTTATTTTATGTTTTTTTGTTTAATTGTATTTTATTTCATTTAATTTATTTTAATTTAATTACAATTTTTTTAGCTTACTTTAATTAATTTTAGTTTATTTTGATGTATTTTAGAACATTTTAATTAATTTATTAATTTATACATTTATTCAGGTTTGTGACAGTGTGTGCAATGAAAAATAACATGCAGGTTTTATAAAAACAAAACATAAAAAGTGAAACCAGATAATTTTAATTTTATAAAGGACTTTTTTTGTATTATTATTCATTTAATTTTATGTGTGACTTGTGAGAAAAAAAAAGCAAAAAAGTGTTCAACAAAATGTATCATTTAGATATACCAGATGAAGTCAAACCAGATAATGGGAAAGGTTTGTGTTGTTAATAGTGTGCTGTATCTTCTGTGTGCGTGTGCCGTTTGATATCATTCCTTACTCTGTATAAGATCACAAAGACTCTTTGAGCTTGAACCCAAACCAGCTGCATGACCTAAATTGAAGGATCACTTCTGTAAAAAAAAAAAACCTTAATCAAATAACGAACCACCTGTCTACAGTAAAGTTGTTTAATCATGACTTTCTCCTCTCGTTTTTGAATGTGTGTGTGTGTTCAGACATAATTCTTTCACAGTTTCTCTATATTCTTCTCTTGGATTTGTAATTCAGCGCTCTATTGGCATGACTTTTCCCATGTTCCAAAACATTTGCAAACACTTTTGGCTGTGTTTGGAATGGAGTTGTAATGTATTACTTACTACTTGCTGCACAGTTGATTGTGGATATTGTGGCAAGTGGTGCCAAGCTTTCATGTTTGAAAAGAAAATGCATGTTGCATTAAAAATTAAATTTTATTAACAACATAAAGTTGATATTTCTTCTAATTTGTTAAAGTAAAAACAAAAGGTCAAATTGAATGCATTGCATATTGAGTCATTTTCACTGTGTATTGTTGTATTGCTCATCATGGCCTATGCTGTAAACATATAACCCAGTTTATTGAGGATGTCTTGCAAGTACAAATTTAAGCACAGTTGTGTGGCAGTGGTGTGTGAACATAGCCAACATTTAATCATTTTAAAAAATCTATTCTAAAATAAATCTAGACCAAATTTGGCCTCAATCTCAATGTCGCAGCACCAGCTGTAATTATCAGACTTTCTAAATTCCTATTGTCTGATTTTGGTGCTCAAATTGTTACTTCCACTTCTTGTGTGGCTGTCTGCTTCAAAGATCTGATGAGTTCATTATTATTATTATTATTTTTCAGCTTAGTCCCTTTATTAGTCTGGGGTCACCACAGCGGAATAAACCGCCAACTTATCCAGCATATGTTTTACACAGTGAATGCCCTTACAGCTGCAACCCATCACTGGAAAACATCCATACACTCTCATTCACACTCATACACTACGGACAATTTACTTTACCCAATATACCTATAGCGCATGTCTTTGGACTTGTGGGGGAAACCAGAGCACCCGGAGGAAACCCACACGAACACAGGGAGAACATGCAAACTCCACACAGAAACGCCAACGCCAAGGCTTGAACCAGTGACCTTCTTGCTGTGAGGAAAACGTGCTATCCACTGCCTCTGGCATTTGCGGGCCATTTACCTAAATGCATTAAGATGCTGCCATGTGATTGGCTGATTAGATTTTGCATTTTAATTTGAAAATTAATGATTGAGGGTGACTTGGTCATGCAGTGGGTAGCACTGTCGCCTCACAGCAAAAAGGTTGCTGGTTTGAGCCTTGGCTGGGTTAGTTGGCATTTCAGTGTGGAGTTTGTATGTTCTCTCTGTGTTGGTGTGGGTTTCCCCCACAGTCCAAAGACATGCACTATAGGTGAATTGAATAAACTAAATTGGCTGTAGTGTATGTGTGGGTGTGAATGCAAGAGTGTATGGGTGTTTCCCAGAGCTGGGTTGAAGCTGGAAGGGCATTCGCTGCATAAAACATATGCTGGATAATTTGGTGGTTTATTCCACTGTGACGACCCCTGATTAATAAATGGACTAAGCCGAAAAGAAAATCAATGTATGAATGGATCTACCCAATGAGGAGCGAGACAGCCATACAGCAGATGATGTCATTTTAGTATTTTGTGTACACAGTACACATACTCCATGCTCCTTTCTTTCAGAAGTAGTAGGTGGTACGCCATTCCAAACATACTACTTTCTCTGTTTATTGCTCTGTAGGTAGTTTACAAATCTCTCATTCTCTGTTTCTCTCTCTTCCAGCGGTTCCTCCTCCAACTCCTCCCGCTGAGGATGTAGACCGTCAGCGGCGCAGGTTTAATATGCGCATGCTAGTCCCGGGACGCCCTGTTAAAGAGACTCCAGCCACACCTCCGCCCATTCCTGTAGAGCGGCCCACCTATAAGGAGAAGTTCATCCCACCCGAACTCAGCATGTGGGATTACTTTGTGGCCAAAGTGAGATCGCAACTTCTGCTTGTTTACATAGGATGAAGCGTTTTTTTTTTTTGTTTGTTTGTTTATTTTTTTCCCCTTTTAATGACATTTTGAAGGTATTAAATTTCAAGAAATACCTACTAAAGTGTTTCATTGATTCTTCTGTGTGTGTTTGTGTGTTTCCCCCAGCCTTTCCTTCCTCTTTCTGACAGCGGGGCGCTGTATGATTCGGATGAGAGCGGTGCTAGTGACAACGAGGATGATGATGATGCCTTCCTCTCTGACACCCAGATGACCGAACACTCCGACCCAAATTCCTACAGGTCAGATTAGGGGGTGTCTTATCATATGAAGTCATATTAAATGCATATTAAACTTTGTCATGCGTGCGGTTTGGGAGAAGAATGTAAAATAAAGTTGCTCAGACTTGAGGTCACGAAATGGTGGTTTGGGGTCTGTAAAGAAGCCTCCCTAAAAGTAAGAGTACGCCAGAATAAGTTTTGATTTATTTAATAATGATTATGGCTTAATATGATGATTTAAAGAGGGTTAATTAAGTCAATATTAACTTAGACATCACTTACATCTCATGTTAAGATGTGTGAGAAGTGGCGTTTGCAAGTTTCTGCTTTTGTTTTGTGCATTTGGCATGCTTATAAATGAGACCCCAGATGTACGGTTCACGGATTCTCCAAGTCACAAAAGTAGCTATTAATTACGTATGAGTTAATCAAACAATGTATTTATGCATTTAATCGCTCACTTTTCTGACACACAAGTGACACACTGCAAGCAGAGAGAATATTTATCTAATTTTTTGCACAACTTCAGAAGAAAACAACTCTCTTCTTTTTCATTTAAACTTTTATATTGCGTTCATGATAAACACACACATTTGTTAGCACACTGAATACAAACTACATTTTTAAATTCCAAAGTTCAAACCTGTGAGGCAGGCAATCAAGCTAAAAGTGAAAGCATTAGCTGATCGCACTCTCACACAAATATATATATGCAAATCACATATTTAAAATACAAGTTCATGTCTATCATATATCCATCAAAAGCCTCTGTTAATTGATTAAATGTAAGTGTTTAAATTAGGGCTGGGCGATAATTCGATAGCGATAATTATCACGATATAAAATTTTACAATAAAACTATAATGACTTTTAGTTTAATAATTGCTAGATAATAATTCCGCACTATGGGTAACATTGCGCAAGCATTTTTGCAGCCTGCATTTCCGGATGCCGCACGCCATACAAGTTTACAGCCAAACAGTGTTAGTTGTACTCAAAAAAGTACGAAAAAAAAGGGTAAAAAAGGTCAGAGTCAAAGACATTGTTGACAAGAAACGTCACTAGACCTCAGTCTTGAGCTACTGTGTACTGTAGCAACGTGCACTGCAAACTGCGCAGACGACTCGTGTCATCAACACCACAAGCCTCTTTCATCATTTAAAACACAAGTGTCAAACTCAGTTCCAAAAGGGCCGCAGCTCTGCTCAGTTTAGTTCCAACCCTAATTAAACACACCTGATCAAACTAATTGAGTCCTTCAGGCTTGATTGAAACCTACAGGTAAGTGTGTTGGAGCAGGGTTGGAACTAAACTGTGCAGGGCTTCGGCCCCAGTGGCGTAGCGGACGGGCCCGCAGGGCACGCACCGCGGGGGGGCCCCGCGTGATTAGGGGGCCCCGCGTCGTCGTGATTTTCAATAAACTGTTGGGAACAACTGTGGTCGGAACCAAAGTTCACACGTCTGTGTTCTCTGAACACCTCTCAAGCGGTGGACTACTTCATTCTGATTGCTTGCAGCCAATGTTGCCAACTTAGCGACTTTGTCACTATATTTAGCGACTTTTCAGACCCCCCTAGCGACAAATCTAGCGACTTTTTTGTGTGTTATTGGAGATTTTTTAGACTGTCATTTGTCCATACTGTACCGTCCCTACTCTTCTCAATGAGCTGCGTGTGATGCCGCCGGCCCCTCCCCCGCCTCACAGCACTGACAGGCGGCCCAGTCAGTCCTCGTACAGCAGCCTCTCCCACCTGCAGCCCGAGAGCAGATCACCCCTCTGCGTACCGACGACAAATAATTTAGCACAGGCAGTGTGAAGGTATTTCGCTTGTACAGTCAAACCGATCTATTTCTACTTTATTTTAACAATTTAATTGGACCGTTTATTCTTTTCTTGTTCACAATCACAGATATTTTAGTGACAGTTTCTGAACTTGTCTGAGTTTATTTCATATGAGAGATTACTGCACATTCACTAACGTTACACATCTATAATGATATACTGTATTCAAACAGCAATAAATTTAGTTAAATAAACATGCTTATATAAAGTGTAGTGCAATTATAAATACCCCTTTATTAACCATAGGCTGTTAAACAGAAACGGTAGAACGTGATGACGTCAGTGATATGCAAATTGACGTATGACCCCCCCCCCCCCCCTTCATCAGGGGCCCCCGTCAGCGATCCCTGCAGGGGGGCCTCCGCATTTTGCGCTACGCCACTGTTCGGCCCTCCAGGAATTGAGTTTGACACCCCTGATTTAAAACAACACCACCCTTATAATAATGCTAAGACATGACAGACCTAAACAAGTGCTGGTAAACCAGGGCAACTACCCAGCAGAGTCTCATGTCATCATTTTTGAAAAGAAATTTTTGAAAACGAAAAGACTGACAAAAAATGTGACAGACATTACAATCTCAAACACATCTCAATCTCATCTCAATGAACACTTGATGCTTGCTCTACAAGCTGCATTCAGGATATTTACACTACAACATTTACACTAATAAAAAATAATATAATAAAGTAGCAAATTCAAACAAAACAAAAATTTGTTAAACTCGAGTAAGGGGACGATAGTGAAGCCAAATAAAAGAAAGAAATATAACAAAACATTTCTAATTTATGAGTAACCACTCTTACCTCGCTAAAAACTGATGAAAAGAAAAAAAGGTCCCTCAGGAAAGTGCGCTGCATTCTTCCCTATAGAATAAATATAAAGATGATGTTCATCATCTTACCTGATGTCTTTAACAATACATTATCTACGTGTTTGCAAAATGGAAGTCGTACGAGATCTTCCCTATTCACTTTACTCTGAGAAAAGAATTTGAGGAGATAGGGTAGCTCAATATTGTCGAGAAAGAGCCAAGCCAAAAAACAACATTCAAATCAAATAATTAAATATAAACAAAACTCACAAAATTTCTCAAAGTGGGCAAAAGTAATGCAAAATAATTTTACCCAAACGAAAGTTTAGCAAAAACAATGAAAATCATAATCATGTCAGCAAAATACACAAAAAACGAGATCAAAGAAAAAGGCGCCATCTCCGCCTCGCCTCCGATACGCGGTCAGCTGCAGACTGCAGTGAATGAGCGCTCGCTTGCACCGCGTGTCGTAGGAATAATTCTCCTCGCAAGGCGCTGCACTCGTGGAAATAAGCGATCTTGTTTCTCCCAGGACGATGGCAGATTTTCCTCTGAATTCTCTAACTGAAGCTTTGAACAGTAGGCTACTCTTGCACTTCCTCCATTATTGGGCTTCTCATATCTTCCCATTCTGCAAAGCCCACTCTCTGCTTTTGCGCTAATTCACTGCCATGTCCAGCTATACAACTGCAACCGACTTGCAATTAGCTAATTATAATGTATTTTTTTATTACCCGACCCTTGGTTTATTCGCAGCGCCCACAGATATAACCGCCTTATACGCATCACTAACAGGAGGCAAAAATACAACCTTTACGGCTACAACCATAACATTAATTTCAGACAAAAGTGCAATGTGTTTTACTGGTGAATATGTCATGTAAAAACACTGTACAGACACAGTATATGTATATTTTTTCATTAATTTAAATGGAAACCCATCTATCTAAATGAAAACTTAATCAAAAATGAGCATCACTATGTCTGTGTCTGCACAGAGATCAAGCTTCTCACCTGAGAATGTGGCCATTATGCTGTTTTTGAAGAAGAACTTAAAACTTAATTCTTTAAAACTTTATTCCAAATGCCCTTAGAGAGGACAAGCCTTTTTATCTTTCACTAGTCTACACTGCAGTTATTTATTTAATTTTAGTTTACTTAGTTAATATGGCTGCACTAAAGATAATAGTTTTTTTCTAATTATAGTCTATTTTGGAGGTATTTATTTAATTGTTGTTGTTTACTTAGGTGTCCTGATTGTACTAAAATGTGAAAACTGAAAATTCTGTGACCATTAACTCACCTTTACTTGTTCCAAACTGGATTTATTTATTTTTTTTCTGATGTTGAACAATAATATCCAACAACTTGTAATGTCTTTGGTTGTTGAAAACTTGAACAGTAAATGCTGAATTAAGATTGCTCTTTTGTTTATTATTTTATTATTATTTATATTGTCAAACAGCTAAAACATTTCACTAAGTTAGTTAAATCAGCTGAACAAAGCGATTGGCATACTGTAAATCTTGTAAGATTGATAGATATAAGGTTTTTATGTTTATCGTGATAAATATCGACATCGACTGATATTAAAAAAAATATTGTGATAATTTCTTTTGCCATATTGCCCATCTCTAGTTTAAATTTAACATATATATAAAAATAGATGTCATATATGTACGTTTATGCAACAAACATTTTAAAATTGCGAAAAATGGGTGTTTGTATATGAATATGAACAGTGTGAGGACCAAACAACATCTCCAGGTACTCCTTTAAGAACCAAAAACAATTATATGACCTGTTTTTTAGGTGCTTTCAGGATTTGACTGTTTGGTTATAAATTTTAAAGGCTATTTCATATTGATTGCATATACAAATTGTTTCTTGAATGTTGTCAGAGAGTTTATTAAACGCATTTTTATAATTATTTATTTTTCACTGATTGAGTGATGTTTCTGTGTGTCTGTGGGCTTTTTAGTTGGTCTCTGATCCGCCTGGTGATGATCAAACATGGCCTGCACAATGTCAAGACATTCCTGCCCCTGGCTGGACTGGACTTCACAGGTGCATTTAACACTAGCATCACCTCTATTAATATATGCAAGGCATGGTCAATTAAGCAGCGAGTTTCAATTTCCTCCATCTTTCCTGTCTTAGAACTACCAGTGACATCTCCACTCTGCAATGCTGTGCTGAAGACTTTGGAAAACTGGGAGCAGCTTCTCTTGGAAAAGATCAACAAGTTTGATGGCCCGCCACCAAACTACATCAACACCTACCCCACTGACCTTAGTGCAGGTGGGGGACCGGCTATACTCCGACACAAAGCCATGCTGGAGCCAGAGAACACACCGTTTAAGTGAGTACTTGCTCTGAATTGCAGTTAAACCATTTAATCATTAAAGAATTATATAAATGAAGAGTTTAGATGCAAAAACCTCTAAATGCTGTCTGAGGGGGCTTTCACATCTGTAGTTCGCTTAATTTGATCCGCACCAAGGGTAATAAATGATACATTGTTGCATCTTCTGCCGTCTTTGGCTCGTTTTCACACCACACCACACACGAACCAGTTGAAACTAACCAAAATGCACTCATCTGACAAAATCCACATCTCTCATTGGCCAGATGTTGTTGAACATATTTCCTAAACTGCTTATTGATTGGTCAGAATTCACGTGCGGGAAAATGCCAATGAACTCCCGCAAGTAAACAAACCGGCAGACACAAAATGTCACTTTTTATTATGGAGGGACGACTGCGCTGACTGATTTTATGCCTGCTTTGCACAGCGCATCGGCCTACGGCAGCTGAATTGGTCCAAAAGGCGCAGTACTTTTTGCGATTGGACCTGTTTTAGTACGAATCATATTCTCACCACAAACGAACCGCTCAAGGGTTCGTTTGAAAGCTTACCGCGACCACCTCTTCAAGCAGGTCTAGGTACGCTAATTTGGTCCGCTTTTGGTGCGCACTCGAGTACGATTGCTGCATTCTCACCTGCCCAAACGAACCGTACCTAAAGGGGAAACGAACTCTAGTGCGATTCAATCGAACTAAATAAGGAAGGTGTGAAAGCACCCTTAAATTTACCTCTAAATTTAGCATTTTTTTCTGGCTCCTGTGTGTATGTTCAGTAATATCACTGTTATGGCAAAAAAATTGTCCTTTTGCTGGTCTTTAAAGTAAAATATCTCAGCTTAAACAAAGGAGGCTGAGAAAAATGGTCATTTTTGACAGAAATTTCAGACGACACTAAGACGTTTTTGCATCTAAACTCTTTAAGTTATGCCTGTCACAATAATCAATATAATTAGGGGTGGGCTAATAGTTCACGAGGGCTAATAATTCTGACTACAACTGTATATTCACAAATAAACAGACATTTTAGAAGGACATTTATATACTACCTCACTTGTGTCAACATTTACAATAGGACATTCACTTATTTAACATCGAATTACAGAATCTAAATAACCTTAAGAATGATTTTTTCCTCTTGAAAATTTTTAGCTTTTCACATAATTATGCTGTTGTTCATTCATTCATTGATTCATTCATTTTTTTGTCGGCTTAGTCCCTTTATTAATCCGGGGTCGCCACAGCGGAATGAACCGCCAACTTATCCAGCAAGTTTTTACGCCGCGGATGCCCTTCCAGCTGCAACCCATCTCTGGGAAACATCCACACACACACATCCACACACTCATACACTACGGACAATTTAGCATACCCAATTCACCTGTACCGCATGTCTTTGGCCTGTGGGGGAAACTGGAGCACCCGGTGGAAACCCACGCGAACGCAGGGAGAACATGCAAACTCCACACAGAAACGCCAATTGAGCCAAAGATCGAACCAGCGACCTTCTTGCTGTGAGGCGACAGCACTACCTACTGCACCACTGTTTCGCCCATTATGCTGCTGTTTCATTATATAATCAGTGGCATAAAAGGATCTCAAAATGACAATAATACTGTTTTTCAAATTAATTCCTGTGACAAAATATCCCACAGAACAAAAATTCAGACCTAATATAAATATGTGTGCGACTATGATTTGTTTTGTTTTTCTCTCAGGTCAAAGCACCATCTGTCTTTCCCTGCTCGCCGTCTGTGGCATTTCTTGGTCAAACAGGAAGTGCTTCAGGAGACTATGATTCGGTACATCTTCACTAAGAAAAGGAAGCAGAGTGAGGTAAATACAGAAGCAGACACTGACAGAATAAATGGGTCAGGTCTAATGGCGGACTGAGATTTAAAGGGGCAGCGCATGTTACAAAATGAGATATATTAGATTGTAAAACAAGACCAGGTGATGAATGAAGTAGGCTAAGATTGATAAAAAGCAAGAAGTGAACAAAGTGTAATGGTTCAGAGTAACACTGTGTCCTAACTAAATGTAATAAGACAAAATACTAAACAATGTGGCTTTCTGCACCAGATGTGACATGACAGAAAAATGTAAGTACCAGAGCCATTCAGACTCACAGCATAATAAAAAAATAAAATGGTAAGGTTTGTAATCAAATTAATTCATATAAAACCTCTCTAATATTAATAAAAGTACAGGCTGAGTGGCTGATGTTGTTTGGATTTAATTAAGTCACAGTTCTAACATTGATTTTTTTTAACGTTATGTTTGCTAGTTATTTTATTTTTTAGATCTGAGGTAAACTATCTGCTGTAGCTTTTACAATGCTGTAAAAGATGCCTTTTTGTGTGTCGCAGTGTCACGTCATGTATAGTTAGGACATGGTGTCAAGCTCAGCTCACACTATCTGATTTCAGCCATTATTTGGTTGTCTGAGAAAAAAAAAAAAATCCTAAATTATTTCTATTTAATTAAAACATGTTTACTGAGAGCAGATTAATAGCCGTTGAGATCAAATTTACCCAGTGTCAGAGGTTTTTAAGCACTTTTCTTTTCTTACGATGGGTGTCTAGTGAACTAATAAGAGTGTTGAATCTCATGACGCAATCATTGCAACTGCTTTAAACCACCTGGGGTATATGACAAAACAGGTCTTTTTTAGGTACAGAATAAGAGGAGCCAGAGTGAGGTAATTAAAGAGAGGAGGGAGACGATACAAAAGTAAGACAAGTAGTGGAGCTAGTGTAGTTTAATTAAGGAGGTGGAACCAAAGTTATGTGATGGACACATAAGCAAAATTTTATGGACAGAAAAAGGTCCATTGTCCATATTATACATAGAGCCATTACGGTTCGGTTTGCATTGCTGAATAACAGGAGGGTCAAAATACAATTAGCAATAAATACAATTAAATAAAAATTGGATGAAACAACAACAATATATTAATTTAACAATACAACATTCCAAAGTTATTTAGCAAAGTTTAAACAGTACTGTAATTTTATTTTACATAAAATTGCAAAGATTTATTTTTTACTTAATACAGTTTCATTTGTGCATCTTCAAATGAATAGAAATTAATAAAGTCATTTATTTTCTTTTGTTTCTGTTTAGAATATAACTGAGCCTATAATTGGCATTTTAAGGTATTTATAAAGCATAAATAGTCCTCACTTTAAATTAGGTCACAAATCTGGATGAAGTTGACTTAATAAAGCATGTATTAATATACAAATTAACTTTTAGTATATGTCTGAATAATAAAATCTAAATATAAATGTTAATTTGAATAGTTTACTAATCATTTAATTCCGTTTTCTGAATGATCTTAAAATAGCACCAACTATTCTTAAATAACTAGTTTGTAAATAATGCAATACCTAATTAAGTAATGAAAAAATAATCATTACCAAAGGATGAAAATACAATTATAGATTTACTTATAAATCAAGAATACAGCATTTGTAGCTGTATTTATAAACTGTTACTAACGTCTATTAATGTAGAGTTAGTTGAATCATAGTGTGTAGTTATTATAAGGTGTTACCAAAAGGTCTATTTTAAAGATTTATAAGCCCACCATAGTCAACCAACAATACACAACAATACAAACTGATATAAATCAAACAAAGGTATTGACTTAATTTGGTCCACTACTTGCTGTGACTTTGATTCAGTACATGGAAATGTCTGTACAGTGTCATGAGTCACAGAATCAGCACATTAAACATGATTCATTTACAGTTAAGTTGACATATTGTGTAATAATCAGAGAGTTTACAACAATTCTGATCATCAGTTATTGCTGAAATTATCTTTCCTATACTGTTGCCTTCTTTTATTAAAAAGCTGGCAGTCCCAACAAACAATAATTAAAACAACAGGCTTTGTTGTTGTTGTTTTAGTAAAATTCCAAAGCCCAAAATAGTAACAAATCAAACTAATATTAAAGAGAAACAGCTGTATAATAAATGAATATTGAAAGTAGCCATTGTAAATGTTAAGGGTAAGTACACAGATGCTGAGGGCAATATGCATGTAAACTCAAGACCATCTCTCTTATTCTGAGCTCAGATGAGATTCATTTTGCTCCTTGTTTCATTTGTATTTTTTTTCCTCCATCTGTTTGTCACTCGTGCATGTGTTTTGTGACGTTGGTGTTTGTTAATGTGTGTGCGTGTGTTGTGGTGTGTATTATGTAGTCTATAGATGATCATGTGGACCACCTCATACAAAACTACGTTACTGGAGCTCGCAAAGCCAGCAAGGTACTGAGACACAAAACGGGACTCGTCTTCTCTGTGAAACCCTCTCAAAGCTTTGGGCCTCTGTCCTCTGTTAACCTGCTGTGACCTCTCACACTCAGATACACACACATATGTCCTTCTCTTTCCTCACATCCCCTAACTCGTCTGGCTCGGCACTGCTCTTCCTCACTAACCGCCGATGGCGCTGAAAGCGGTTAGCCAATCAGATGGAACCGCTTCAGACACCTTGTTTAGAAGGTCAAGCAAATAACAGCGATTAAATCTTGTTTTGTCCTCTGAGGAGGTGTGTACATGGTCTCGACTGCATGTCAGCAATCTTCCTGCTACTGCTGCTGTTGGTGTGTGTGTGGATGTGATTGTGAGATGATGTCAAAAACAACAGTACTGACATGAGTGTGTCTTTGTGCATGTTGTTTTACAGGTGGAGGCTGATATGGGTTACCCCGGAGGAAAAGCCAAAGTCATCCACAAGGAATCAGACATCATCATGGCATTTGCCATTAACAAGGTTAGACCATTTCTAACTTTTAAAGGGCCCTTAAAAGATTTTTTTTTAGATGTTAGATTTAAGGATACCTTTAGGTTAGTGTGCTCCAAAACAGTGACAAAATTTGTGTTTAGAAATATACAAACTGATATTAACACCTTAAATTTGTCACTTCCGCCTAAATGGATCTTTTTTTTTCATGTCACCTTATATTTCAGTTTCTTATCAAATCTTGACTAATCAAATGCTCTCTAGTATCTGACATGCTCCACCCCCTTTAATATGCTTATTATTTACTTTTTTTTGATGCACTTGTTCTCAACAACTCTCACTGGCAAAGCCATTATAAGAACAACTTGTGATTGGTCGTTTTTGTTTTTTTTTTAAAGAGGAGGAGCTACTATGTTCTACCCTTTCTTTTTTTTTTCAGTTGAGATTAAAAAAATTGCACATTTCAAAGCACTTCAATGGACATTTAAAACTACAGAGTTGCTCTTCCAAAGCAAGCTTAAAATAATAAGGCGCATCCTAAATCGCATACATATGCAACATTCTAGAGCTGTGAGGCGAATGTGCTACCCACGGCGCCACCGTGCTGCCCCTTTTACCTGTTCTAAGTCTTTTTTTTCTTTAGTGAAATTCATTGTTTAATTTTTTTATTCGTACTTGCATTCTTCAATGACTGAAAACATTAATATTTGTACAAAATAACATAATTGATGATTTTCAGAACATTTTAACTGGCAAATTGTGGTAAATAATGGGTTGTCCATAAATGGGTTTCAGTTTTCTGCTGCGTTAACACCAGACGCGGAACGCGCGTCAAGCACAAGTGATTTACATGTTAAGTCAATGCAAACGCACGAATAGACATCCTGCGGCGCAAATGGTGCGACGTGAATTGCGCAAATGGCGCGATACGCACAAATTGAATGCGTTTTGCGCGTTCGAAATGCTTAACGCGTGAATCGTTTGAGTTCGAAAATCTGAACTTCAGCGGGTATTCGCGCCGCGTTTACCAGTTAGGAGTTTGCTCTTGTGGGGGCGTGATTGTGACGTTTCGCCTGTTGTCGGTGTCCCAGGGGAAATCCTCGAGCCGACACCGACAAAAAGTTCATCAAACTGGGCTCGGCTCAGTCAGAACCACCACTGAAAGCCTCCGTCATCCAGGTTCAGTTTCTGGAGGAGTTTATAAGCTGACAGAGCTGGATGCACCTCTGAAAATGTATCGATGCTAATTTTCAGCCTTCATAAAGCACATAAACACTGTTATTTTCTTCATAAAATCCATGTTAGCCATTTAGCAACAAAGCTAGAGTCACCGGGCAGACAGAGGCCCTGCCCATCACGCAAATCCGCGTCTGTTCTAAAGTAAATTTGATGCGCAAATGAAGCGGGGTTTGATGCGTGAATGAAGCAGGTAAACGCAAATGTTCACATGGTTATTTATGCGCGAATAGCACGATTTTCCTTTATCTTAGTCTCTATTTCAGAGGTCGCCACAGCGAAATGAACTATAAACTATTCCGGCATATGTTTTATGCAGCGGTTGCCCTTCTAACCAAATTACAGTATGGGGAAATACCCATACACACTCACATTCACACACACTCTCATACACTTTAGTTAATTTAGTTCACCTATACGCATGTCTTTAGACTGTGGGGGAGGAAACCCAAGCCAACACTGGGAGAACATCCAAACTCCACACAGAAATGCCAGCTGGCCCAGCCGGAACTCAAACCATCGACCTTCTTGCTGTGAGGTGACAGTGCTAACCACTGAGCCACCATGACGCCGGGTTTCAGTTTTAATCTCTTTTTCTTTTTCATGTTATTTTCAATTCAAGTTTTTATTTTCACAAAAAATTGTTTCAAAGCAGCTTTACAAAAGGCACACACTATTGCATTACAATCAAAATCAGTTAAGGCTATTAGTTACCATAACTTTATTAGTTACTAAGAATTTGAACTAATTAACTAGTAACTAAAAGTAAACAGTAAAACAGTAACCAGTTAAAGTTATTATATACATGTAAACATAATTAACCTGCAGTTATATACTATGTAGGTGATGTCTATGTGTACATGTTGAATGAAGTGTATTAAGTGCATGTGTTTTTGAGAATAGTCTGATTTGCTTATTTTATACTTTCAATTTTTTTTTACTCTTGTCTTGGATCGCATATAAAGTGGTCGTTTCTTTCAACTGGTGTTTGTGTTCTTTCTCTTAGGCTAACACTAATGAAATAGTGCTGGCGTCCACTCATGATGTTCAGGAAGTGGATGTGTCCACACTGGTCGCAGCTCAGCCATACACCTGGATCGGAGAGGACTTTGACAAGGAGTCCCGCAGGTTTGTCACCTGTCTGCGTGTGTTTAATTCATTCACCTCACAGATGTGAAGCGACTGCTATGAGCATCTTGTTTTATCTGTGTAGCTCTGATGATGTCGACTACCGCTCGTCTCACACCAACATCGCCCAGGCCAGCACTGGTCCCTTTGCCCCCCAACAGATGGCAGCGTCCTCCTCCATGCCCTGGCTGGGAACCGGGCAGACCAGCATGGGAGCCAGTGTGGTATGTACATCAGTTTGCATTACAGTGCGACATATGAGAAATTGGAAAACAGTCCTGGTTACTTTGGGTTTAAATGTACACAACTCCACAAAAAAAAAAAAAAAAAAAAAAAAAAAATATATATATATATATATATATATATATATATATATATATATATATATATATATATATATATATATATATATATATATTTCTTCTTTTTATAAAGATGTTATATAATGTTTAAATCTTTAATAGGTAAGTGAATAGATAAACAGATAAATCTTGTTTTGTTCTGATGTCATTTCTATTAGATTTAGAAGCAAATGTTGTCATTTAGAGTGTAAATACTATAGATGGCATGTTTTGCCAAGATAAAATTTTTCCATATTAGTATTCATTTATAAAGAACGTTATGCAAATGTTTTAAAGAAAGCATCATTTGGTGAAATATCAGATTTTTCAGTTGCAACTTTTTTTTTTTTTTTTTTTGTTGAATTATCCATTTCTGCAAGCAAATAATAATAAAAAAAAATTAAACACACTTAAAACTAAACTAATTTAACTTAAACACTTTCATACACTTAAACTAAATAAATTATTATATAATAATAAATTATATATATAATAATAGAATAGAATTATTAGCCCCCTTTGATTTAGTTTCTTTTTTAAATATTTCCCAAATTATGTTTAACAGAGCAAGGAAATTTTCACAGTATGTCTGATAATATTTTTTTCTTATGGAAAAAGTTGTATTTGTTTTATTTCAGCAAAAATAAAAGCATTTCTTAATTTTTAAACACCATTTTAAAGGTCAAAATTTTTAGCCCTTTTAAGTTTTTGTATTCTTTTATAGTCTACAGAACAAACCATTGTTGTACAATAACTTGCCCAATTACCCTAAACTGCCTAGTTAACCTAATTAATCTAGTTAAGCCTTTAAAAGTCACTTCAAGCTCTTGAAAAATATCTAGTAAATTATTATTTACTGTCATCATGGCGAAGATAAAATAAATCAGTTATTAGAAATGAGTAATTAAAACTACTATGTTTAGAAATGTGTTGAAAAAATCTCTCCGTTAAACAGAAATTGGGGAAAAAAATAAACGGGGGCTAATAATTCAAGGGGTCTAATAATTCTGACTTCAACTGTATATACAGTTGAATCTAATCTAATCTAATATACGTATTTTGAAAAAAATGTTATCAGATGTTTTTAGAATATTGCAAATAATAACATTTTACTCAAACCTGTTGTTGACATGACGTTTATGTTTAACTGTCACACATGACAAAAAGGAATTGAATTAGTATTTTCATAATTTAAAATGCAGTAAATGGTTAAATCTTTTTGTCTTCGATGTACCTCATTATTATTTTTTTGGCTGTCTCAAGCATAGTTCAATAAATTACAGCTCTTATAAATAAAAAAGAAAATGGAAAAATCGTAAAAATAAATACTTCAGGCCTTTTTTTTTTTACAAGTGGCTATTTTAAATATAAATGGAAAAAAAGTTAATCCATGTATTTCTGAAAACATATTTAGTGAAACATTTTGTCATTACATTTTGTCATTACATTTTGTGATGCATTTTGTCACTGAAAACCATGTTCTCGGATGTGACACTATATGCTAGTTTTTAAATTGCCAATTTCACTGAAAACACATCACATTTAAGATCATGTGACAGAAGCCCCCTATTAAGTTTTTATCTCAGATTACCATTTTGGAACCACTATAAAAAATTTAGTTTTGTTGTCCTTTGGTTTGGCAAACCTATTTATTCTTTAGCCATGAAAAATATATATATTTTTCAGAATTCCCTGTAAAAATAAATGGCACTATATAAAGATGAGTTTCTAACAATGACCGTCTCCATTTAACATCTAACAATGATCTCACACCATTTATACATTATTAAGACATGCTTTTCTTTATTTTTTTGAGGTCACCCCATAGGATGTTTTTACAGAACAGTTCAGCAAAAAGAACTGATAAAGTTGTTAGTTACTCCTTATATTTTCTGAAACATATGACTTCAAACTACATAAATATAAAAAATATATATTTAAAAAAATAGTATTTTATAAAACAAAACTGCCTATTTGTCAACTACCCACCTAACATATTCAGGGAAGCTGAGATTTATTCTTTTTTTTTTCCATATATAGACAGGCAGTCTACTATATAGACTGACATTTTCTTGCTTCCACTAAATCACAATTTTCAAATCATTCTGAGATTGCAAGGATTTGTTTATAAACCTTCAATATAACTGTCATTACATTAAAAACATAAGAACTCCCTAAACTTTATTCATGGTCCAACTGACTATAGTCTGTAAAATAAAAAGTAAAAAAAAAAAAAAAACTCCAGCATCTGTAAGTAGACAGACAATGAAGCACGTACGTGATGGTCCCATTCCCACAGATGAAGAGCAGCTACTGAGTGTTTTGTTTTGGCTGTTATCAGCAGAACACAAACAGTGAGTCTTGGTCTCAACACAGCTCTTGATGAGTCTGTATTGAGCTGATAAGAGCGTTTATGGAGGTAGTGGAGTAAACCGCAGACAGTCCGAGCGACCCAAGGTGCAGACCTGCGTCATCACCTCAACTCTGTTCTCATTCACAGCTGATAAACCGAACATAGTGAAGAAGCTTCTTGCAGACTACTTTGCCAAGCTAAATGCTACTGATTAACATGATTAACTCAACTCATGATTAAGAGACAAATATACAACAAAAGTTCTTATTTTATTCAATTGACTCTGATTGATGCACATGTGAAATGACTGAAATGTGAGCTTGTGCATCCCAAAGTTAAAGTTTGCTAAGCTCTCTGACCTGTGGGTTTGTACAATGTGAAGGCATGTTGACGAATTGTCAAATTGCACAATTTTTTATACACAAAGGTTTTGTGAAACAAATGCCTGAATTCAACACAGTGACCATAGCCCCTTACACACATACAGACCTTTCCGGAAAATTGGCAGTAATTTTCCGGAAAGGTCTGCATGTGTGAACAGGCCCTCTTTAAAAATACAGGTAAATTCGTTCTGGCTATTTTCCGGAAAGAGAAGTTGTAACATTACCGGTAATATGCCGGAATGCTGCGGTGTGTGAACATAGAAGGAAGATTGCCGGAAAGAGCACGAGCACGTCTAGAACGTGCTGTCGCGAGACGTCTACTTTAGCCAATCAGTACAGTCAGACGCATTCACGTCCGCGCGGTTTATGAAAATAAAAGCCTTTGAATATTTTTCCAGACACATTTAGCTGCTAGATGTTAATCAGATAAAGTTTAAATGTTCCTTATTAATGCCAACTTTGTAAATAATTATAGATAAGATGCTTATGATAAGCCGTTGTTTGTTTACCTTCAAGGTCATCTTCCTTCAGTTTCTTGTCGCGTGTCGCGAAAGTGTTCCTCCATATATTTTCATCGAAGTTGTTTACAATACTTATTCATCCACAGAGTTTGTAATGTAGTCAATTGTTTACAAATACAAGTGTAGCTGTTTAGAGGTAATTTCTGGTTGATGATGACAGAATTTACCGTTTTTTTGGAATGGATGTGTGAATAGTCTTTTCCGGAAACATTCCAAAAATGTCCTCACCTGTGTGAACAGCGCTTTTTTTTAATTTACCGGTAAAGTCGTTCCGGAAATTTTACGGATATGTACCAGTATCACTGTGTGAAAGGGGCTATTTGTCTCCTTAATTTTTTTTGCCTTTATCCCTTAGATGCGTACGATCACACTGGTGTCATTAGAATGTTCAGTAAATAAGATTTATTTTAGGTTTCAGACATTTAAATATGTGTAAGAACTAGCAAATCAATATTTATGGTTTGTAAAATACACACTGATGTCTAGGTAAATTAAATTGTACTCAGTATTATAGTGTTTTTTATTTACATGCAGATACACTGTTAAGGTAAATATAAAGTTTACTGGTAATACTTTAGTTTAGGCCAAAATTCATGCCATTAACTACTAGCTTATTACCTGCCTATTATTAAGATATGAACTGTTCATTAGTAGTTATAAAGTAAGATCTAATTCTGTGTCCCTAGTTGTACCCAAAACCCAATTTCTACCTTACTAACTATTAATAAACAGCGTATTAATAGTTTATTAAGCTAGTAGTGTTATGTAATGGTTTGTTAATACAATGAATTGTGACCTAAGCTAAAGTGTTACCAGTTTTTCTCTAAGTTAAACAGCCACTTGTATGTATTTTAGGTCAAATAGATGAATTAGCATGTTGTAAATCCAGCAGTTCTAATCGCTCCAGTGAAGTACAGACTGACTTGGCATCACCCACCAAAGATCAAATAATGGCATAACGATCATTTAAAAGCTGTTTAAATGACAAAGCATGTGTTCTCGCACATATTTAAGAGTCAGAATGTCAGCTATTTCTCAATATAATTAGGATTTTTAGCAATATTTGCAGAAAATGGAATAAAACAAATAAAAAATGCATAAATCAGGGGGACTGTGGTGTTTCACGTGATAAAACTGACATGTCGCCAAGGAGACTGTATGTGTTGTAAATAACGCCCCATTAAAAAAACTCATGCAGGGGTTGAGTGGAAGTATTTAAACCTTTGGTTAAAAATACATGAACAGAGTACTGTGCTGGGACAAATGTTTAGGGATCAGATGGTGTTGATATATGCCTATAGTTGTGTGGGCAACATTTGTATATTTACAGTATAACCACCTTAAAAAATGGGTGTCGCGTCTCGCGGGCTGTAAAGTTTGAAAAATGACTGCTTTAGATGATCGAAAAAAATATATAGCTTAAATGGAGCTAATAATTTTGACCTTAAAATGTTTTTTTTTCTTTTTTTTAATTAAAATTGCTTTTATTGAAGCCGAAATAAAACCAATAAGACTTTCTCCAGAAGAAAAAAAATATTATAAGACATTCTGTGAAAATTTCCTGACTCTGTTAAGCATCATTTGGGAAATATTTAAAAAAAAGAAAAAAAATTCAAAGGGGGGCGAATAATTCTGACTAAATGTTTGTCAAATCTGAAGAAACCGTTTGAATATCAGTGTTTTATGGGGGGTCGTGAAAATGATCTTTGTTAAACTGTGTCATTTCTCGCAGATCATGAAGAGGAACCTGAACAATGTGAAGAGGATGACGTCCCATCCTATCTATCAGTACTGTGAGTATTTCTTAGCAGGGACTTTGTAGTTGCCTTTTTATGGGATTAGATTTGTGCCAAATGAATCGAACAAAACCTGTCAAAATGCACACAAATAAATAAAACAAACAACATTTTTGTAAAACAAACAAAAATAAACAACAAACACAAATTAACAATCTCACTAACAAACTTACACTTAAGAGCTGGGGTGAAGTGTTCTTCAGGCTCAGTAGCTTCAGAAAGTGGCTGTTTCTCAATTCCAAGAATGCAGAGAACAGAGCTGCGTTCTTGTGAAGACCGGTCTTGACAGGTGTCCGCGTAGAAACGAACTGAGGAAACCACGAGAACAGAGAACGCGTCCTTTCCTTTTTGATGGAAAACTATTTAAACATTACAGCATTCATACAACGATTTACTGTTTTTCCCCCTTTTCAAAATATAAACTCTAAATAAAAATATTACAAATATACGTTGCACAATATAAATAAAACAGATTTTAATATGAATTTCAGCAAACAAACACCCTTAATGTGTTTATTCCTTTGTTAAGATGTTTGTGGTAATATTTATATTCACAGTTTCATTTACGAAAACTTCTGAGTTAAATAAGTGATATCTCTGAACTTGAATAATGAATCTTAATAAAATATTGCGCTTCCCACCTCAAGTCATAATGACTTCTGGGACTTCTAGAGCGAGATCGGTGCTCAAGTCTGCATCGGTGCGTCCTCGATATCAAGAACACCTCTGGGAAGTTTCACGCGTCCTCTGTTTTTGCGGTCTTGAGTATTGGAACTGAACTTTGGCAACTGATGATGACGTTACACAAGAACACGAGGACGCAAGACCGCTGAATAACGCACACTGAGAAACAGCCAGTGTTTATACCCATACCACTCAGGCAGGCTCGTAACGATTAGCAGCTGGGAGCTAATTAACCTTAAAGCAGGACAGAGAGAGAGAAGCAGGTTGGAGCACAACACAATATGCAACACAACTACACATAGGCTGCGTCCGAAACCGCCTACTACTCAGTAGGTACTGCATTTGAATTTAAACGTACTACTCGGCCGTTAGAAAAGTACGTTCTAGACAGTATTAATGTAAAAAGTATGAATGGAATTCAGACGTACTACATCCGCCATTTTGTCATGGTCACATGACCTACCTGCATCAATTGCGTCGCTTTACTCCCATCCATGAATTCGCTCGCGGGGCATCATGGGATAGCGCAGCATGCATGGGATGCACACTCTAGAATCAAGCTGGAAGTAGTAAGTCATCTGGGTACTTCTCGCATACTGATTTTCGAATTCTATGAATTCGGAAATACGACTCGGTTCGCATACTGATTTTAGCGTGCTATATAGTATGGAAGTATGCGGTTTCAGACGCAGACATAAAGTTATGATTTGGCTGTAACACTGTCATAATTAAGCATAATTTACATAATAGCATTAGCATATATTGGAATTTACAATAATGCATAATAAATGCATAATATAACTAATGTTTTTCAATAAATTAATAATAAATTTCTAAAGTATAACAAAACATTAGAATAAAATATGGTCACTTTTAAAATATGAGTAAAAAGTAATATAATACAATTACATACTAAGCAGACAAACAATAAAAAAAAAACATATTAACGTTTATTAAAACATTTCTACTTGGACCTACTTATTCACTACCTTGAGAACTAGGGTACTGATTGAGACGCACCCTTTGGATTTGGATGAATATCCTGTTTGACTTGTTTATGTTTGTTTTTGTTTTTGTTTTTCAGATATGACTGGAGCTCAGGATGGTAGTGTGCGAATGTTTGAGTGGAATCGTCCACAGCAGCTCATCTGCTTCCGGCAGGCTGGAAACGCTCGAGTCACTCGCCTCTACTTCAACTCACAGGGCAACAAGGTATTAACACATTGAACATCAGAATTATCCAACTTCATTACCTTTTTTATTCCTCACTACATGCTGTTCAATCGTTGAGGTCAAGATTTGAAATGAATTCTTCTATTTAGCAAAGGATGCATTGAATTCATTAGAAGTTACACTGAAGGCATTTATAATGGCTTCTGTAATAGATCGTTTGTCTTATTCGGTGGAAATAATTATTGAACACGTCACCATTTTTCTCAGAAAACAAATTTCTAAAGGTGCTGTTGATTTAAAAAAAATAAAAATAAAATCACCAGATGTTGGTAACAACCAAAGAATTCCATACATGCAAAGAAAATAAAACTAATTTGTTCACAAATGAAGTTGTGTAATAAAATGAAATGACACTGAAAAAGTATTGAACATGAAGGGAGGTGTAGAAAGGCAGTGAAAGCCCAGACAGCAGCTGAAATCTCTCTAGTTTGAAGGCTGTAGAAAGAAAATAAAACTGTAGCTGTAGTAAGCTCCTCCTTACACTAGCACTTAATTCTCTGAACAGTTCTTTGCATAATTAGCACTTCTTATGTGTGTTGCCTTTTCTTGTTGAATCACTGAATGTCTCTTCAATATTAGGTTGCTTTGGATAAAAGTGTCTGCTAAATGACTAAATGCGAATGTATAATGTTACAGATATTTTTTGTTTTAAATAAAATCTGCTCATTTAAACTTTATATTCTTAAAGGTTCCGCAAAAAGTGAATAACATTTTTAATATGACACAACATTGATGATATACTACAGTGCATCTGGAAGTGCATGTTACAGCCTTATTCCAAAATGGATTAAATGCATTTATTTCCTCAAAATTCTACACACAATACCCCATAATGACAATGTTAATAAAGATTTTTTTGAAATCATTGCAAATTTACATAAAAAAAAAAAAAAACTGAAAATCACATGTAGATAAGTATTCACAGCCTTTGCTCAATACTTTGTTGATGCACCTTTGGCAGCAATTACAGCCTCAAGTCGTTTTGAATATGATGTCACAAGCTTGGCACTCCTGTCTTTGGCAATTTTTGGCCATTCCTCTTTGCAGAACCTCTCAAGCTCTATCAGGTTGAAAGGGAAGCGACGGTGTAAAGCCATTTTCAGCTCCCTCCAGAGATGTTTAACAGGATTCAGGTCTGGGCTCTGGCTGGGCCACTCAAGGACATTTACAGAGTTGTTGCCAATCCATTGATATTTTGGCGGTGTGCTTTGGGTCATTGTCCCTCTGGAAGTTGAACCGTCACCCCAGTATGAGGTCAAGAGCACTCTGAAGCAGGTTTTCATTCAGGATGTCTCTGTACATTGCTGCATTCATCTTTCCCTCTATCCTGACTAGTCTTCCAGTTCCTGCTGCTGAAAAACATCCCCACAGCATGATGCTGCCACCACCATGCTTCACTGTAGGGTTGGTATTAGCCTGGTGATGAGCGGTGCCTTCTCCAAACATAATGCCTGGCATTCACTCCAAAGAGTTAAATTTTAGTCCCATCAGACCAGAGAGTTTTGTTTCTTGGGGTCTGAGAGTCCTTCAGATGCTTTTTTGCAAATTCCAGATGGGCAATGGTTTCCGTGTGGCCCCTCTACCATACAGATCTGATTGGTGGATTGCTGCACAGATGGTTGTCCTTCTGTGAGGTTCTCTTCTCTCCACAGAAGAACGCTGTAGCTTAGACAGGGTGACCATCGGGTTATTGATCACCTCCCTGACCCTTCTCTCCTGATTACTCAGCTTATATGGCCGGCCAGCTGTAGGAAAAGTCCTGGTGGTTCCGAACATCTTCTACTTACGGATTATGGAGGCCACTGTGGTCATTGGAACTTTCAGAGCTGTAGAATTTTTTTGTAACCTTCCCCAGGCTTGTGCCTTGAGACAATCCTGTTTCCGAGGTCTATAAACAATTCCTTTGTCTTCATGCTTAGTTTGTGCTTTGACATGCACTGTCAACCCTGGGACCTTATATAGACAGGTGTATGCCTTTTCAAATCATGTCCAATAAACTGAATTTACCACAGGTGAACTCCAATTTAGGCTGCTGAAACGTCACAAGAATGATCCGTGGAAACGGAATGTACCTGAGCTCAATTTCAAGGCTGTGAATACTGATGTACATGTGATTTTTCAGGTGTTTTATTTTTAATAAATTTGCAACAATTTTTTTTGTTTTCAATTTCAATCTTTTTTTCACATTGTCAATATGGAGTATTGTTTATCAAATTTTGAGGAAAAAAATAAATGTAATCAATTTTGGAATAAGGCTGTAACAAAAAAATGTGGAAAAGGTGAAGCGCTATGAATACTTTCTGGATGCAGTGTATGCATTTATTGAGCTATTCAAATAAATTACAGCTACTTGATAACAAAAGATGACAACAACAAATAGATTAAACATGTTTTAGACTACATTTACTGAAAATACAAAAATAAAAATGTATATTATCCACTGGACAATGTTTTGACCTCAGATTACGTTTACTGATGTACAATAGAATTGATGTCCGTGATATTATGTAATGAGTCCAGTACAGCAGTACATCTGTTCACCATAGCTCATCCTGTTGTCTCCTCTGTGCTCTGTTTGACTCATTATGCAATCTGCTGCTGAAAATACTAAATTTGTCCACTCATTTGAAACTCTGCAGTGTGGCGTTGCAGATGGTGAGGGATTTTTGAGCCTCTGGCAAGTCAATCAAACCTCCTCAAACCCAAAGCCCTATTTGGTAAGACTCTTGTTTTTGTATCACACAGCTATTACTGACAGTCAATGATGTTTAAATTAAATTGATATTAAAACAATAATCTAAGGCCATAAATAAGAATGACTGCATTGTATGACAGGCTGCTTTTTCTAAATGTTCACAGTGAATTTAATTTTTAAGAGTAACACAAGTTATTCTACTTTATTCTTGCAAATAACATTGCCAGAAAGCTTTTCAAATTAATAGAGCTCTCTAATATAATTTTACTTACAAATCAAAATAGAGAGATCAATTAGATTTACAATGTTTTACAGTAACAACAATATAATGTAATGTAATGTAATGCAATATATTACACTCAACTGCCACTTCATTAGGTACATCTTACTAGTACCGGGTTGGACCCCCTTATGATTCAGCAAGGTACTGGAAATATTCCTCAGAAATTTTGGTCGATACTGACATTATAGCATCACGCAGTTCCTGCAATTTTGTCTGCTGCACATCCAAGATGCGAATCTCCCATTCCACCATGTCCCAAAGGTGCTTTATTGGATTACGAACTAGTGACTGTGGAGGCCATTTGAGTACAGTGAACTCATTGTCAAGAAACCAGTCTGAGATGATTCGTGCTTTATGACATGGCGCGTTATCCTGCTGGAAGTAGCCATCAGAAGATGGGTTCACTGTGGTCATAAAGGGATGGACATGGTCAGTATCAAAACTGCTGCCATGTGATTGGCTGATTAGAAATTAGCGTTAATAAAGTGACCAGTGAGTGTATAATATAATACAATACAATAAAACATAACATAATATGATATAACATAATAATACTTTACACATTCCATGTATTTACTATAATAATTACAATTATGCATAATTACATATACACTAACCCTAAACCTAATCCACATTCTAATCCCAACCATATAGTAAGTACATGTAATAAATTAATATTACTCAATATTTAAATGAATAGTCACACTGTAGCTACATCGCCTTAAAATAAAGCGTATATTAAATAGCACTGCTTAGCAGTACATATTACAAATAGTACATATTATATGTAAAAATATTTTGGGTTATGCTTTATTTTAATGCACAATTCACACTATTAACAAACCATTAGCTAAGACTTTTAGCTCAATAAACTACTAATTAGCTGCTTATCAGTAGTCAGTAAGGGGTTTAGTGGGTTTTGGTATTGGGTAGGATTAGGCATGCAGAGTAAGATCCTACTGTACATAAAGTGATAATAAATAGTTCATATTTTAATAAAAGGCAGCTACAATAGTATAATATGATATATATTGCAACACCTCCTCTCCTTGAATTAGGATCACTCTGAGGGGTTCTACAGAAATTTGGCTGACTGAATAAACACTCTCTCGAAACAAATTATAGCAAGCGTAAACTTTCTTTTATTTTACCCAGATGCGTATTGTTTTATCATCAAACTGAAAAAAGAATCAATCACAAAAAAAAACAAGACTCTTTTTTTTTTTAAGTTAGAATCTAAATAGTCTTTCTGAATAAAGTCAGTGATCACTTATCGTTCAAAGCACTTGAGAGCAATGCAATGATTCCTTTCGATGCCCTGTCACTCGTTAGGAAAGCACCCGATATTGTATGAAGAAAAGCCATCCTTCAACAAACAGCGCTCCGTGTCCGCAATACTCAAATGTCTCAACCGTTGCCGTCTGTCTCATGAGAGGAAGTTGCTCCCCGAGTTGGATGAGCTTAGTATTGCTTAATTTCATTTCATTTTCTTTTTGGCTTGGTCCCTTTATTAATCCGGGGTCGCCACAGCGGAATGAACCGTCAAAGTACAGTTTTGATGCAGCGGATGCCCTTCCAGCTGCAACCCATCTCTAGGAAACATCCACACACACTCATTCACACTCACACACTACGGACAATTTAGCCTACCCAATTCACCTGTACCGCATGTCTTTGGACTGTGGGGGAAACCGGAGCACCCGGAGGAAACCCAAGCAAAATGTCAACTGACCCAGCCAAGGCTCGAACCAGCAACCTTCTTGCTATGAGGCGACAGCACTAACTACTGCACCACTGCATCGCCAGTATTGCTTAATCTCCCTGTGAAATCAACAAGCAAACAGTTTGACGTATAAGGATAGCAAAAAATTAAACAGTCTTTTCTAAAACAAACAAAAATGACATAAGTAACTGCTTATCCCAACACATCAGATAAAGACACATATACTTACAATGGAGCAACAGTTCTTAACATAGGACTGAAATTGCATGCCGGTAGTGGAAGTGATACCATGCAGTGTACACTCTACCAAACACTCACTCTTACTCTATGGTAAGCTGCTCTTTATGAAGGCACATATCCACATATCGCCCCGCGGAGGTCGGAAGCAGTATTACTACATGTCAACATACTAATTTTACCATGCCAAACAATACACCATGCAAAAAAAAAATAATAATAAAATAAATAATTCGGAAAATGATAACAGTAACATTATCTAACTGTTACAATATAATAGTATAATAATTATAATACTACAGTATTTATGTTATAGTATAATATAATATATCATAATATATAATATAATATAATACAATATAATATAATATAATATCATATAATATCATATAATATAGTCCAATAGTAATCGCTGTGAATTGTTACTTATTGTTATCATTGAAATCAAAAAAATACAATTAGAATTGAATTACAGGTTTCTCTAATTCAGTGCTACTGTATGATATCAAAATACGCTTGTGTGTGTGTTTGTCTCAGAGCTGGCAGTGTCACAGTAAAAGCTGTGGTGATTTTGCCTTCATCACGTCCTCTAGTCTGATCGCCACAGCGGGACAGTCCAACGATGGCAGGTCAGTTGAATGCTTTATCTTGTCATCACATAGAAACAAACTGTTCATAGTGTTTTTAAAGAAGTGTTTCTCTTTGTTCCACAGAAATGTCTGTTTATGGGACACACTGATCGCTCCTAGTAACTCCATGATACACTGTGAGTTCACAGACAGAGCAAGATATTGAAAAGAAAATAGCGAAACAATTGATTAACATAGACTATTATAATATTTCTGTTCTTTATACATGATGTGTGTGCGTTTGTGTGTGGTGGATGTGTATAGGCCTATATCAGCCCTCCTGTGGATTTTTTATTTTCAAATATTTCCAAATGATTAGTAACAGAGCAAGGAATTTTACACAGTATTTCCTATAATATTTTATCTTATTTGTTTTATTTCGGCTAGAATAAAAGCAGTGTTAATTTTTTTAAAGCCATTTTATGGTCAAGATTATTAGCCCTTTTAAGCATTTTTTTCCAATGGTCTTCAGAACAAACCATCATTATACAATGACCTGCCTAATTACCCTAATGCTGAGTTCAGATTTCATGATTTTAGCCCCGATTGTTGACTCACTGACAGGTTTTGAGAAACCACAGACAAATGCCTGAAATCACAGGCAAATCTGTGCTAATTTACACGATTAACAATCACACAGTGTGAACTATCAAAGACTCGATTTGAGAAAATCGCAGATGAGTGCGATTTAAATCATGCCATGTAAAACTAGTTCTGACTGAAAATAACATCATAGCTTGCCTACAGCCAATGAGAGAGCAGCATCCTCTAGTATGGGTATCTATTGGCCAGCGGGAGTTTGGGAAAGAAGTTAAAAGAGCTTCTTTTCAGTCTATTCGTACGCAAGAAATGAAGGAAAAACTAGTGGAATTTTGGCACCCGTGTCTGTTTGACGTGTCATCTGAACAATATCTCTTATAGCAATTCTCTTTTATGCACCTGACACTTTATCAAAACTCCCATCTTACAAGAACTCAATAAGGAAAACAATTTTTACTATAAATGTACTACAATCATGCTGCACTGCTTATTACCTCTCTTGCACAATCTATCCTGCACAAGATTGTTCAATCTCATGTAAAAGTACTTGCCTGTCTTTGATGTATTGTCTGAACATTTTTTTTTAGAGTGTATGTTAGTTATGCATAGGTTTTTATAGTAGCTCTTATGTCCAGTGTTGTGTTTGTAATTATGATTAATCTATGTAGAACCGTTGTCCTGCATGACACGACATTTTGTTCCTCTGTATGTCTACACATGTAGCGGAATGACAATAAAGCTCGACTTGACTTGACTTGATAACCAGGTCGAAAAAGAAAAAAAAAGTTTAAGAGAAATCGCTAATTCCCTTTAAAACGCAGGTGAGCAAAATAAGCACATTTTCTGCCCCACTAAAGGCTTCTTTCTCGCATTGTTACTTTTTGTGTGTTTGGTTTTGAGATGTAGTTTTGCGGACTGAGACAGAGTTGTCGGCGATTCTCCTATTGTAAAGTCATGCTGTGTGAAACCCTCTGTCGCCGATCCATCCTACAGTGTAAACACAGCAGCGACGGAACGCTAGCCTAGCTAGTCATGCAGTGTGAAAACATCTGTGACACGACTATTTTAAAAAATTGTGCAGTCTGAACTCGGCATAACTTGCCTAATTAACCTAGTTAAGCCTTTAAATGTCACTTTAAGTTAAATACTAGCATTCTAAAAATATCTAGTCAAACATTATGTACTGTCTTCATGACAAAGAAAAGAAATCAGTTATTAGAAATTAATTATTAAAACTATTATGTTTAGAAATGTGTTGAAAAAGTCTGAAACAGAAATTGGGGAAAGGTATATAAGGGGGCTAATAAATCTGACTTCAACTCTAATTCTAAAAACAAAGTAAATGTCTAAATACTGTGACATAGCATTAAGGTAACAATATAATGCTGTGTGCACACCAGACGCGGAACGCGCGGATAAATCGTGATATTCGCACGTAAATAGCTGCGTGAACATTTGCGGTTACTCGCTTCATTCGCGCGTCAAACCCAGCTTCATTCGCGTGTCAAATTCACTTCAGAACAGTCGCGTGATGGGCAGGGCTTCTGTCTGCCCTGTGACTCTAGCTTCATAGCTAAAGGGCTAACATGGATTTTATGAAGAAAATAACAGTGTTTATGTAATTTATAAAGGATGATAAACAGCGTCGATACGTTTAGAGCGGTGTCTGAGTCCACTACAGCCTTTCAGAGGTGCATCCAGCTTTTTAAGCTCATAGACTCCCCAGAAACTGAACCTGGCTGATGGAGGTTTTCAGTGGTGCTTGTGACTGAGCCCAGCCCAGTTTGATGAACTTCTTGTCGGTGTCTGCTGGGCGATTTCCCCTGGAACACAGACAACAGGTGATGCGTCACAATCACACCCCCACAAGAGCAAGCTCCTGATTGGTTAAAGCGGCGCGAATGTTCGCTGAAGTTCAGATTTTCGAACTCGAGTGATTTGGGCGAAACGCGTATTAAGCTCGTCAAACGCGCAAAACGCTCAATTCGCGCCACGCCATTCGCGCCATGCGCACCGCTCAATTCTCGTCATTCGCGCCGCGCCATTCGCGCGTATCACATTGACTTAACATATAAATCACTCGCGCTTGACGCGTGTTCCGCGTCTGGTGTGAACGCAGCATAACAGGTAGTCTAAAAATTGCTACTGTTAGTGCTAATAATTGCTAGCATTACTTTTGAAAGGAGCTGATTTTTTGAAGTAGGGGCCCATTACTAAAAAATTGCTTTATTAATATCTGAATTTACAGTTTTAGTGTCTTTAAAAAAATAAAAAAGCTCTGCAGATACTCTGGTTTTAATGCCGTATTTTCTCTGTGTCCAGCCTTCCAGTGTCATGAGAATGGTGCGACCGTTCTTCAGTACGCTCCTAAGCAGCAGTTGATCATCACGGGCGGCAGGAAGGGATTCGTCTGTGTTTTTGACATCCGTCAGCGGCAACTGCTGAACACATTCCAGGCACACGATTCGGCCATCAAAGCCCTGGCCATGGACTCCAGTGAGGACTTTTTTGTCACTGGTTCGGCTGAAGGGAACATGAAGGTATATTTCTCTAGAAACACCTTAAGGCTAATTTATACTTCTGCATCAAGCGCACGCGTATCCTAAGACGCAGCCTACTCGTGGACGCATAGCCCTCGTCGAGGCCGTCGGCAACACTGACACGCACCTCTCAAAAGATGTAACTACGCGTCACAATGACGCATAGCGCAAGCTCTGTGATTGGAGGCTTGGAAGCACTGACGAGTGTGGGTGGGACAGAGAGCTGCGTGAGTCTGTTGGAGCGACTGTTAACAAGTGTCAACTGTTTACAAGGAGGTCCGAAAGGAGACCGTTGCTTTGTGTTTACCTTATGTTTAAAGTTGTTGCACGTCCGCCGGTTCCTGCCTTAAAATGAGCAAGTTTGAGCTACTTGTACATTAAGGAAGCATTCAGAAAAAACAAAACACCAGCGAAGAAACTCGACAGAGGAACAAAAACACCTACTTCCAGCTAGCAGTTTAGAAGTGTTATTGCAGAGCTACAGAAACAGCGCACAGAAGTATGAATGCACAGCTCCGCGCGTTGCATGCCCCGTGGGTCACGCCGATGGCTTGACGCAGAAGTATAAACCAGGCTCTATGTGGCTGATAAGATCATTTAGGCCAGGGGTGTCAAACTCAGTTCGGCAGCTCTGCACAGTTTAGTTCCAACCTTAATTAAACACTCCCGATCAAACTATTAGAATACTTCAGGCTTGTTTGAAACTTACAGGTAAGTGTGTTTGAGCAGGCTTAAGGCTGATTTATACTTCTGCGTCAAACGCCGGTGTATGCTACAGCGCTGACGCATAGCCCTTCGCTGTGGCCGTCGGCGTGGCTGACGTGCACCTCTCAAAAATTGTAACTACACGTCGCAACGACGCGTAGCGCAAGCTCTGTGATTGGTCGGCTTGGTAGCGTTGACGAGTCTGGGCGGGACCGAGAGCCTTGCGAATGGCGCAAGCTGGACGCGAGCCCAATGGAACGATTGTTTACAAGTGTGGAGTCCCGTGAAGGAGCTCCTGATGGAAAGTTTTGTTGTTGCACGTCCGCCAGTTCCTGCCTCAAAATGAGCGAGTTTGAGCCACTTGTACATCCCGGAAGTGTTCAGGAAAAGCAAAACACCGGCGAAGAAACTCGACACAGAGGAACATTTACACCTCACTGCCTATCTGTGCACAATTTGTTCCTCTTTGTATTAATAGTATGCTCACACTAAAACAAACAACACTTAAAGTGTGGGCTTTTCACATTTGCACTTCATACTCTCAACTGTTTAATTTTTGTTCATCTTCGGAACACAAATGAATATATGTTATATGAAATCTGACAGCTCTCTCATCCTCAATTGACAGCAACGATCACAAAGCATTCAAAGACATTTCTGAATGTACAGAAAGGGAACCAAAAAATTATCAAAACATCTCATGTCACTTCAGTGGTTCTGTTGTAATCATGCAAAGCTCTATGAATACTTCTGTGCACCTAGAAAAACCCAAAGAGATTCTTAAGTTCAAGTTGATTAAATTGACTACTTTGAAGCAATGAGTGACATTTGAATGGGAAATTAATTTAGTTTATGACAAGTAATGCTGTTTTGTTGATAATGCCAACCTGTATCAAGACAATGCTAAGACACTGACAAGTTGGCTTGGTTATGTCAAAAACACCAAGTTGTCATGTGTTTGTTTGTCAAGTCGCCATAACAAAGGCATTTCAAACAATGTCACCTTTGCATTCTAAGCTAATAACACTTAATGACAGTTGTCATAAGCATACATAAAATCTGCTGATATTCATGGAGTGTCATGATACACTGTAAAAGTGTTGGGTTCCAGACAACTCCTTCATGTTGTCCCAACACAAATCCAATAAGTTCACTTTCAGTCACGATTATTTTTACAAATTTAAGTTGATTGAACATAAAACAATAAATTTGTCTTGAAAAAAAACTCATTTTGAATAAGTAGTATGAACAAGCAGCACTCACATTGTAAAAAAAAGCTACAACAAAGGAACAACAAAGATGAGTTAAGTTATTAGGGCGGCACGATTAATCAAAGAAAGGTCACGATCTCGATTCAACCCTACAAAGTGAATACAAAACCAACTTCACCTCAGTAAAGCAGGCATGGCAGAACAGCATTATTTACTTATGTTTTGTTGTTGAACTAAATAAAAATCTACATTAATAATGCTGTAAAAGAACCTTATGAAACTGAAATTAGTCACCCATTTGTAACAACACAATCTACATCAGCTTTGCGTGACTAAAATAGTTTTAAAACATAACATTACTTGTCCAAAATAATCCAGCCATGCTGTCATCCTTCCTCCAGCATGCAAAAGTAACTTTAATATTGATTCAGGATTTTAAAAAGTTTGAATTCAGAATTTGACTTTACCGCTGTGTCTCGTGTGCACATGAACGCGTAGCGCGCATGCACACATGCACGTGCCAGAGGCAGATCTGCATAAACAGAGATGCGCAGTTGTACAAATCTGCATTTGACAGACAGTTTGGGCTACTTATCAGAATTCCGGGATTTATCGGCCTGACAATATTTAAATGGATGAACTTTTTTTTAGTCTTATGCCTTACCCAGAATATAAAAATACATATAAATACATTTAGATCATTTACATCAATCATTACTATTAAACTGTGAAGAGACTTTCAACCAGCACAACAAAAAATGTTTTTGTTGACAATCACCTACTTTACCTTTAAGTTAACTTATTAGTTCTTACAAATTTAAGTGGATTGAATATAAAACATTTAAGTTTCCCCCAAAAAACTCTGTATGAGTGTATGATTATTAAGCTGTCTTGAGCACCCATTCAAGTAAAATATGACCTAAAATAAGATTCCTGAACACAGCTAATAATAGTATTTCTGCTCCTTCTCAGGTCTGGAAGTTGGCAGGTCATGGCCTCATGCACTCATTCAGCACCGAACACGCCAAACAGTCCATATTCCGCAACATTGGGGCCGGCGTGATGCAGATTGAAACCTGCCCAGGAAATCGGATCTTCACCTGCGGTGCCGACGGAACCCTGAAGATGAGGGTCCTTCCCGACCGCTACAACATTCCGGCCAGTATATTCCAGATCCTCTAACAGCGGAGCAGCCCCCGGAACACTTAACGCTTTCATCGACACCTCTGCGTTTCCTTAGCTGTGAATCGTAAAACCGGTAACAAATATCTCGCACCTCGCCCCACGAAAAAAAAAAAAAAAACACGCCGAGGTCCCTCGATTACTGAACGATCGACTCCGGTTAACGAGAATCCGGATAACGTGTTGGTAGGAAAAGCCGTATGCATGAGCTGTTTGAGTCATCGCACTCCATTCCCAGGTTATTGGTCGTGCTCTTGTAAAAGTGCTCAAAGCTCCATTTTTAGGTGTGTATGTGTGTGTCTTCATTTTGTGCCCATTTTAGCATCGAAAAATACCAGCACTGTGCTTCTGCTCTCAGTGTAAGTCCAGTTGTTGGGGTTTTTGTTTTTACTGTACGTTTTCTCCTTGGCTGCTAATGTATTTGCGGAGTGTAAAATGGCACAGTACCCTGGTGGCCCGGCGGTTCGTCACGGCCCCAGAGACACAACCCTTTCCCTGCCACACACACACACACTCAAACACACACACAGACACACACAAGTGCGCACGCTGCTGTCGACACGCAAACATTCCACGCGAGACAATGGCGCTTGCTCCTGGAAATGACGTATTTCACTTCTTCGTCCGTCAGAGCCCTCAAAAATCCTCACTTCTAACTGAAATGGTTTTGTTTTTGCACAAAATATTTGTTTGTTCGTTTGTTTTTCCGTTTCGTTCGTTCTTTTACCAAAACGTGTCGTATTTATATTTACCTTTTAGGAATGTAAGGTATGTTTTAGATGTCTGGGATCAAAGTGCAACACTGAATAGCTTTGTGTTTTATTTATTTACATATTTATTTTTTCATGTTTTATCTCTTCTAAATATTTGCACTCAGATCTGGGGAAACAATACCAGTCTCGTGTGGTAAAAGCTCTATTAGAGGAAACTGTTATTTACAAATGAATGTCTGGCTGTGTGTGGCCGAGTAGTTACAAAGTGGAAATAGTTTTAAACGAATAAATATATATATATATAAATATAAATATATATATAAATGAAATATTACAATAGCTTGTACAAACACAATAATGCTTTTACTTTATTTTTTTTTTATTTGATCTTAACTGCTGGAATAGTCGTATCTTTGGTTTGACGTACACGTGGTATTTATTAAATCATATTTGTGTTTCTGTCTGATTTGCTGGGCACCATGTCAACTGTACGTACTTTTAAATGTTCAAACCGATGGTCTGATGTGTATTTATTGAACAGCCTGATCCGTCTGCGTGTGTGAAAAATGCAAACACCTCCCCCAAAAACACTGGTTGATATTTCCCTGAAGGAAACAACAGGTAGTTCTGTCATGGTCAAAGTTTTACCTTTGTAAGTTGAATAAATTCTTTTTATTTGAATTAAACCAGTTTCTCTTTCGCTCTCTTGACTCACGCACATTTCTTTGGGATTTTAGACACATTTCAGGTTTTATTTCAGGAATGGCATATACACATACATGCGGCGTAAATCAAATAATATCTGACTTGTACATATTAACAGTGTGTGATTGATTCTCATGTTGAGTTCATGAATACATTTTGATATATTTTTTAAACTTACCACAAATCTTTAAAATGACTTTCTGTTGGACAACAAAATAACTATAAATCATATAATAATCATAATATAAACGATAAACGATGCACTATTATTAAGGTTTGTGAAGATAGTATTGATATTACAAGTAAGGAAGAAAGAACAAGTAAGAGAATTAGGAATAAGAGATAATATTTGCATAACATTCCAACAAAATATTAGCCAAAAAAAAAAGAAAAATGCAGCGTAAAAAGTAAAAATGGCACAAATAAATAAATAAATATAGTAGCCCACAATGCATTTGAAGACAACTTTGAATGGTAACACATTAAAACAACTACCAAATACAAGTGACATTTATACAAATGACTTTGTTTTCCATGAAAATGTGAGAAAAAAATACAAATTCTATTAAGTACTTTTAACATTAAAAACTTTTAGTAGCACCATTTTAGGTTTGAAGCTGATATTAAAGGGGTGGTCCACTACAATGTCATATTTTAAACTTTAGTTGATGTGTAATGTAGATGTGTAAACATAAACAACATCTCTGAATGTGATACACTCAAAGTTCAATGCAAATGAGACACTGGCTTTTACAGAGTAAGCTTAGCAAAGTCTACAATAAACAAAGTTTGGGGACTACAAAAAAAATATCTGCGCTAGTTAGATCACAAGCGATTTAGGTTAAGCGCATTCACCATGCGTAGACACTCCGCGCAGAATCATGGCATGACCAGAGGTGCTGTAATGTTATAGCAGAGAAAGCTAAAATGCCGTCCAAATGCTGCTATTTCCGCAGAGCGCGTTTTGTTTCTGTATTTGGGCTTCCAAGGGACACGACAGAAAGAGAACAGTGCTTACAGTTTAATTGTAATTATGTTCCAGAGAACTATAAAATATATATAGCTAGCATTCGACAAAGGACAGCTTTCAGAATCTCTCCCAGTTCAGTGCTGAATTCAGCTAAAAACTCCTCCAACTGACGAAGCTGTGGACTGTGAGTCTCAACCTGTGAGTATTTTTATTTGTTAAAATTTATCATTTAAATGCATAGTATCTAGCGGTAACAGTATGTTGTAGCGAGGATGTAAACAAGGATGGAAACAACAGGAACATTTATGGATGCTTTTAGTGTCTCTCTATACGCCCGCTTTCCGTGTGTTCTACATCTCAAATAATAAACTCGCAAAAGATATTTGAACGTTTCCTAATAGTTAAAGATGCTTATTCCGAATATGTGAAATACACTTGTCAGATTTTATTTTAGAGAGCAGGCGTGAGGTTAAGCTGTGTACTCTTCATTTTCTGACAGATTTAGCTACTGTTTACACGGCACAAAACTGCATGCTTGTAGAGCTGTGACGTGGTGACATGGAGCCGATCCACGAATCACAGCACATTATGTTAGCCGACCAATCAGAGCCTCTTGAGGGTGGGCCTTTCAGAAAAACTGGGAAATATGACAGTGGTTTTCATGTTAGCTGAATAGCTGTATATAATCGAAGTAAGATGTATGAAAAAATACTGTGATTTTCTACAAGTGAAGCATGAGCTTGCTTTGCATCTCATAAACAACCAATCCTTAAAAACACTATGGACCACCCCTTTAAAAATTTGCAGAGATGTGATTTGGGGAGGGGGTGTTGTAATTATACATTCTAATGTGTATGATGGACTTAATCTGATGCAAATAAAACTGAATCTGGTCTGTGTTTCACTGTATTTCCTATTTAGGCTTTTAGAAACTATAGATGTGTTAATACCAGAAATAAATATATTTAATTTAAACGATCCAACCCGCGGAAATAATTGTGATTAAGTTGTCACGTAGACACATAACCTGCCAACACTCCCGTTTTTTTCTGGGAGTCTCCCATATTTCAGACTCATCTACCCCCACCCTCCTGTTTTTTTTTTTTATTCCAGGAAAACTCCCATAACTCCACCCATCCACTCTTTTTGGGACAGCCTATAACACTCCCTGGTCGTCAACTTTGGTATAGTATCCGATCGCTGCCGATTCCGGTAATTTCAGAGACAAATGTTGGCAGGTATGCACATTACTGTTTCCACCTCGCATTAACACGCATTTAAGTGAAGTTTATTTATAAATGAAGTTTCACAAACTAATTTCGAGAGGAGCTCGTGATATGATTGACTGCAGCTGGCCACTCATCTACACTCATTGGCTAGCCAATCGGATTGATCCAAACTCACTATAAGTAACCTAGCTAAGAACTACTCCCTTATCTTCGTTTTCCGAAGAAACCCCCTATACACCCCTTCTCCTCCTTTCCTCTTTTGCCGAGGGGAGCTCTCGAGAACACCTGACCTCGTACTCCCCTCACATGCTTTATGGACCTGGCGGGAGCCCTGGGCTCAACTATCTCCGAGCTCAGGGTTCTCTTCCGGGACAGCATGCCAAACCTGCTAACTTGCTAACAAGTTGTCAAACAGTATCTAAGTGCGAACTCTTGAAACTAATTTCGAGAGGATTGCGTGCTTGTGATTGTTCACAGCTGGTCCCACATCAGCTTACGATTAATTCACCAATCAGATGATTCCTAACTCACTATAAATATAAGTTTCTTATCTCAGTATCTTTGTCTTAAAGGACACCCCCACCTACCCCTACTCCCCCTCTTTTTAGATGGGCAACACAGTGGCCCAATAATTAGAAAGAATGTCTCTGGTTATAGTCTATACTAAACCAGTCGACAATTTTGTGTGGAGTTTGCTTGTTCTTCCCATGTTTACATGGGTTTCCCCCAGATTCTCCTGTTTTCTCCCACAGTCCAAAATACATGCAACCTAAGTAAATTGAACATACCATCAAGCTCTTAGCAAGCCGCATATCTCTCCTTAGCCATCCATATATCTGTCAATTAGCCAGAAATAAGTTGCGGGAGTTCATCGCGTATCGATATCTACCTGAGCTCAAACTCCCTTCTTGCCCTGCTAACAGGAGGGAGCCCAGGGCTCGAGGATCGTATAAGCTCAGGGCTCTCTCCTGGGACAGCATGCCAAACAAGCTTTATTATCAATCATCTAAGTGTGAACTCCTGAAATGCACCTAATACGATCCTTACACACAAAAGCAATCCAATTAAATGTGTTTTCTTTGGAGGTGATTGTCAAGTTCACAATGTTTTCAGCCCGTTTACACCTGTATTTAGTGTCGCCTACTTGTTTTGGGGTTTACAAAACTGCATCCAATACCCATATAAACGAGCTCCAATATTTAAAGGTAGATTAAGTGTCCAAACACAGCACAGTTTTATCAAATGTTATTTGCTTTACAAATTTCTGTGTAGTAATAGCAAAAAAAGTCAGCAGATTCTGCCTGACCCTAGTCAAGACTTTGGTTCACTGTCCTATAAACACAAAGAAACTCACTCAGTCATCCATCAAAATGGGTAAAACCAAATAACAGATCTGTGTGATTTGCAGCAAAATGTAGTAAATCAGTCTGAAAGAGGACTGGTGACTATCTTTATCACTGTTGGGAGGATGATTTGAGTACCCTAAAATGTCCAACAATCACAGCTGGAGAATTGCAGACATTATTTAGATTTTTGGGTCAGTGTTTGAAGTGGTTTCAAGAATTAAAATAAGCATACACTACCAGACAAAAGTCTTGCCATCGATCCCAGTTGTAAGAGCAACAAATACTAACTTGACTTCTAGTTGATCATTTGGAAAAGTGGCAGAAGGTAGATTTTTTTTTTTTTTTGATGGATCATCTGTAAAACTGCATCCCAATCATCACAAATACTGCAGAAGACTGATTGGAACCCCAATGGACCCAAGATTCTCACAGAAATCAGTCAAGTTTGGTGAAGGAAAAGGTTTGGGGTTACATTCAGTATGGTGGTATGCGAGAGATCTGATGTGAGAACATCAACAGCCTGAGGTGTCAAGATATTTGTGCTGCCCATTACATTTCAAACCACAGGAAAGGGCAAATTCTTCAGCAGGATAGCGCTCCTTCTCATACTTCAAAGTTCCTCAAAGCAAAAGGGTCAAGGTGCTCCAGGATTGGCCAGCCCAGTCACCAAACATGAAAATTATTGAGCATGTCTGGGGTAAGATGAAGGTGGAGGCATTGAAGATGAATTCAAAGAATCTTGAACTTTGGGAATCCTGCAAGAACGCTTTCTTTGCCATTTCAGATGACTTTATTAATAAGCTATTTGAGTCACTGCAGAAATATATGGATGCAGTTGTCCAAGCTCATGGGAGTCATATATAATATTAATTCTTTCTCCACTGCAACATGACTTTAAATTCTATACTGTACGTTATTTCTGTTAAGTGACAAGACTTTTGTCTAAGCAGAGTCAGCCCTTACCGTCCTGATTAAATAATTAAAAATCAAGGCATGATCATGTTTTATTTTGGTAAAACAAGTGTAATCTAGAGGTCTTTGCCTTTCATATAAGCCACTTCTGATTTTAAATGATCAACTAGAATTCAAGCTATTACTTGTTGTTCCTAAAACTTGGATAAGAGACAAGACATTTGTCAGGTAATGTATACTTCTATCTAGCTTAGTGTTAGCTCACCCAAAAGTTTCAATTGGTATTAATTACTCACCCTCATGTCATTCCAAACTCCTCAGACCTCAGTTTGTCTTCGGAACACAAATTAAGATATGTCAGATGAAATCTGAGAGCTCTCCCATCTACCATAGTAATTTTCCAGACTCATTCAAAGTCCAGAAAGGTAACAAAATTTCATCAAAACAAGCTACAAGAATACCTTTGTCCACACATACAGTAAAACCAAAAATAAATACTTTATTCAGCAGTTTCTTCTCGGTGTGAGTGTATTTCGCACATTAATGTATTACACCTACTTTCATGATCGCAGCTCTGATGTATCTGTGCATGTGCTTTGTGAAGTTTATTTTTAAACTTATTTCGAAAGGATCACGTGCTCATGATTGACCACAGCTAGTCCACAGTTGCCAATTCATGATTCACCAATCAAACAATTTCTAACTCACCATAAATAACCGAAGTTCCATACCACAAACATCTTCGTTTTGAGGAATTCCTCATTCCACCCCTTCTCCTCCTCCTTTTCTAGATTGGCTGGCAGGGCAGCCCAGTGGTTTGCACTGTTGCCTTACAGCAAAAATGTCACTAGTTCTAGTCCTTAACAGGCCAGCCAACGTTTTTGTTTACATGTTCTCCTCATGCTCTCATTAGTTTTTCCCGGTTTCCACCCACCATCCAAAATAAATCGGCACTATAGACGTGTTCCTAGTGAGAAGTTATCTCTTCATACCAATCCCTAAGTGCTCATTAGCTACAAACAGCAGGGAAGTTCTCGAGATCAACCTGAGTTCAAACTTCCCTCTCGCTCTGCAAATGGGAGGGAGCCCCAGGCTTGAGGATCTTATGAGCTCAGGGCTCTCTCCTTGGAGTATTCCAAACAAGCTTTATAAACAATCATCAGCTGAGTGAACTCTTGAAGTTTCAAACAAAGGAAGTCACGCAATGTTTGTGAACATGAGCCTATTGTGACACTGAGGAAAAGAAAAAGTTGATAAAAAAAAAAAAAGTTTAAGTGCGCACAAAAAAAAAAAAACATATTTGTAGCTCAGAAGGGGTAAACTAGGCCCACAGGCCATATGCAGCCCACTGGACACCTTCATCTGCTGGCTCTCAAGGGAGTTTTTAAAATACTCCTTCTGAGTGAAGGTTTGGTTTCATAATTAGTAAGTTGATGATGCAATACAAGATAACGCTGTTTGATGGCAGTATAGCATGCTTTAAAGTGGGGCTGCAACAACGAATTGATTAAATCGCTAAAAATCGATTACTAAAAGCGTTGGCAATGTATTTCATAATCGATTTGTTGTGTCGCGCGACACGGCAAGGTTCTACTTTTGTTCCGTTTTGAATTGAGGACTGTAAAGTCCCTGGTGCTGATGTTTTACTCGTTATCCAGCTTGACATACACGACAAATTAGCGTTAGCTCATTTATCTTTACGCCCCATTCACACAAGGCGTCAGCTTCAGCGCTTTACATTCACTTTGAATAAGTGACGTCAGGCGTTGCCGAACTGCATTGTGGATCCGTCGGCGCCGCTTCAGAGGCGTTGCTTGCTGCAAAAGTTGGGACTTGCTTAACTTTTCAAGCGCCAACGGAAGCGTCAGCCAATCAGATCGCTGTATGCAAATACACCAGCTCAGATAGTGGCCTATTCTTACTAATTTCATTGGCTGAAGCTGCTATGACGATCGCATCAGCCCCAACTTCGGACAAGCCCTCTGTCAAGCATTGACGCTGAAGCCCCATGTGAATGTGGCAACTGAGAAAATCAAACTGAGTTTTGGCGTGGTGTCTGGCGCTCAGCCAGAGAGAGCTCGCGCTGAGCAGAGCTATCAGTAAGGGACCATTGGAAAATTGCTTTTTTTTTTTTTTTCGAAAACACAACCAACTTAACCCTGCTGAGAAAGACGTGTCATATTATTACAATTATGCAGCGTTTTAACCGTCTAATGCTTAATTTATGTTTTAGACATGTTTGCAAAACTTGATATAACCCTCTGGTTTAAAGAGTTTGTCCACCTCTGTCGTAGCTTGAAAATATTCAGATTGAACGACTAAAGGCCGTATGATCTGTTTTGAGGATGTTTTTTGGTACCTTTCTTGACTTTAAACAAATCAGCAACCTTGCTGTCTATGGAGGATGAGGGAGCTCTCAGATTTCACCTGCAATATCTTAATTTGTCTTCTGTTGACGAATGAATCTGTAAAGAATTTGGGATGACATGAGGGTGAGTAAATAAAAAAAGAAAAATTGGGTGGAGTAACCGTTCAAGAAACTTAAGTTTGTTTGTTTGTTAATTAATGGAGACTGTAACCAACAATAAACACAAATGATCGCCGTTATTTGACAGATTCTTGATTGCTATCAGAAAGGAACTGGACTTGGTATGACTTGACGTAGCTGCTGTCCCAGATGTAGAGATGTTTGTCTCTGGGATTGTATGAAATCATGGACAGAACCCCTCCAGGAGCCCTGAGATCCAGACTGGCACTAACCGGCTTCTCCTTGAGGAGGTCGAAGGCATACGTCACCTTGGTGTCTTTGGTATCTGTGACGTAGAGGATCCCGCATGCGATAAACACACTGCCGGCTTTGGTTCTGGGGTAAGTGGTGTTGATGTAGGTGCTGACGGAGAAGGTTTTCTCGTCCAGTCGCGCGACCATGAGGCTGTCGTCAATGTTTGAGGCAAATACGATCCACATGCCGTTCTCATCCGCTGCCAGTTTGAAGTAGGTCTTTGAGTTTTGGAGTAAGTAGGACAGATTATGATAGAGGGCGTTCTCAATGCTCAGCACGTGTAAGATCTTCGTTTGAAGGTCAAACCTGGGAAAAGTGGAGAATAGAATATGTTACAGGAGGATTCAGGGTTCATACAGAAGTCATAATTTGGCAATGCCTAATGGTAATTCCTATCTTGCATTTTGCAGGGTTCCCACGCTTCAAGTACTTGAATTTCAGACAAATGAATTCAAGGCCTGGAAAGTACTTAAAAACAAACATAGGTCCTTGAAAGTGCTTGAATTTAAAGTTTATGGTGTTATTTCAACAATTATACTGTGGTGCTTTCAAAAAAAAAAAAAAAAAGAGAGAAAAACTCACAAAAAAAAACTTAATTAAAAAAGGAATTCTTAATTTAACCCTTTTGTGCACTGTTGAAATGTACTTCCCTTTTGATATGTTAGGGATGAAAACATCCACTGAATTAAATTTGCAGTAAAATTGCATCAGATAAATATATTTTTTCAGTCTGTTAATCAAACTCCATCCTGATCAAAACTACTTAATTGTTTAGAAAATGACAAGATTTTAACTCTTTGATTGCCAAATTCACAAATATTGTAACTAATTTGGTGAAAAAAAAAACACACACATACAAAATGATGTATTTTTAATATAAAAAAAAGTAATTGTGGACTGGATTTTTGGACTGGTCTTGGACATGTGAATGATTAGTAAGAACACTGTCTTTAGTGCATTGTTAGTTTTTTGTTTTTTTTCTCCCTAATTTACTGTTGGGGACTGTATTTGCCTCATTGACTTTCATTATAACCACATTTTATTGTGTATAAATACACAGACTTTGTTTTTGTTTACTCCATGTAGGTCTAAGAGCTAAGATGCATATTTTGATTTTCTCAGACACATCAAGGTAAGTAGGGCCGTGCACAGGGGAGTGGCCCCTGATCCTCTGAGAGTCTGTGCACGGGCGTGAAGGTAAGTGCATAATGGTCACTCTTACAGACACACTTTAATTTGCTGTTATACTCCATATAAAAACCAGAAACCAAGTTTTTTTGTTTGTTTTTTTTGCACAGGCCTATCAAAAGGGTTAATGATGATAAACTGATGATCAACAGTAAATATTACTAATTATTTATCTCCTCCTAACAATTAAAAATGCATGATTATATGGTGTCGTGGTGTGTCCATTTGTTTATAATGGAAGTCAATGGGGCAAAAACAGCCTTCAACAGTGAAAATTATGGGGAAAAAACGAAAAGAATCAAAAACAATGTATCAAATTCAATGTTGTTTTTACATGTCCAAGAGTGATAAAAGGAAAAAATAATCCAGTCCACAATTACTTTTTATATTGAAAATGCATCATTTTGTGTGTGTTTTTTTTACCAAATCAGTGACATCATTTGTGAATTTGACAATTAAAGAGTTAAAATCCTGTACATTTTCTAAGCAATTTAGTAGTTTTGATTAGGACTAACGTTGATTATCAGATTCATGGCAAAAATTATCTGATGCATTTTTACAGCAGTTTAGTGGATGTTTTTATCTCAAACATAACAAAAGGATAGTAAATTTGCCCAGTTTTTTTTTTTTTTTTTTTTTTTTTTATTCAAAGCATTTCAAAATATGTCAAAATTAGGTTTGTCAACCAAATATCATTCTGCTTACAGAAACACAGAAAAAGTTATGACCGAATTAAGACTCAAAATCACCCCAGAGTAGATGAAAACTTCCCCAACAGAACATAAGGGTTAAAACTCCTAAATTCAAATCGGATACATGACAAATAATGCGTTTATCAATACTTCAAAAACCACTGTTGAATTTTACCAGTATAATGAATTCAACTAGTTGGTTTAAAGTTCTTTGAACATGACTTTACCACAGTCAAGATTTTTAAAAATGACATTTAAACCATCATCGTGACATTTTCATGTAAATATTAAGTGTAAATGAAATGTATAGTCCTATAAGATCTTTTTTTAAAAAAATGTTTTTATTTTTTACGATTTTTGCATTTATTTGAACATTCTGGTCGTACAGTTCCTAGTTGTTTGAATATTTTTAGACTTCATAATCTAACAATTGCACAATTAACGTTAAATGAACAGCATTTATTTAATGTGTTATAATTTCAAGCTATCATTTCGTTTCACACACACAATGAAATAATATAGATATTAGTTCTGAAGTAACGTTTTTGAATTGGCAACCAAATTTCGCTCAGCTTTAACCATACTTGGCAATATTGGAAGTTCCAGCGATGTGGTAGAATATGGAGCCATTATGGACAGCATGTCCACAACCCTGGAAAAACCTCCGGACATCAATGGATTCACTGCTGCTGTTCTGGAAGGCTGCGATACTGTTGTACTCTTTTATTAAGCGACCTGAAAAAAAGAATATAGGAAGATAAAATTGAGAAAACTGTAAAATGATGAAAAAACTGTGTTCCAGGTACAGTATAATAATAAAAAAATACTACTACTACTACCACCACCAGTAATAATAATAATAATAATAACAACAACAACAACAGCATTTGATGTCAAATATCACAGAAAATTATTTTGAAATATTATATTTTAAGGAATAAAAACCTTTCTAAAATGTTAATAAAATGCATTAATTTGCATATATCTAGCAAATCAATATGAATATAGGATGAAGTCAAGTTCAAATCTTGTTTTTATTGATTTATTTTAATTCCCAAAATCAGAAAAATTCGGGACAGTATGAAAAAAGCTAATAAAAAAAGTGATTTCTAAATTTACCTTGAGTAGTATTTCATTGCAGACAGTACAATAGCGCATTATTTAAAGTGTTCCTCGAGATTTTTATTGGGTTTTTTGTTTGTTTGTTTGTTTGTTTTTGCCAAAATAAACATCCAATTTTGAATCATCCTAGAACTAAAAATCCAATTGTGGTTCTTACAACACGTTTCAAAAAAAGTTTAAACAGTAAAGCATTTACCACTTTATAATGTTGTCATTCTTTTTCACAACACTTAAAAGACTGAAGATACCAAGTGATGAAGTGTTTCAGGTTTAATTTTGTCCCATTCTTCCTTCAAGTCTTAAGATGGGCAACAATGCCACACATTCTTTACTAGAGACAGGTCGGGACTGCAGGCAGGCCAGTCAAGTACCTCTGTCAAGTACCTCCGTAGCTAGGACTTCGTAATGTGTGCTCCAAAATCTCTATGTACTTCTCAGCATTAATGGTGCCATTAAAGAAGTGCAAGTTACCTTTGCTAAGGAGACTGACACAACCCCATACCATGACAGACCCTCGCTTTTGGATTTGTTGCTGGTAACTGTCTGGATGATCCTTTTCTTCTTTGGTCTAATATACTGATTACACATTTCCTCCCAGAAATGTATACATTGTCATCCCAGATGCCTCCGAGCCCAGAGAAGTTGACTGTGCTTTTGGACACTGTTAACATAGGGTTTCCTTTTGGCAGAGTACAGTTTTAACTGGCATTTTTGGATGTAACTACGTCTTGTGGTACTTGACAAAGTAGTCCTGAGCCCATGTAGTGATATCGCTTATAGATGAATGACAATTCTTGATGCTTAGGGATCGGAGATCATGGTAGTTCAGCTTAGGCTTCCATCCTTGTCCTTTACGGACTGAAATTCCTCCACATCTCTTGAATCTTTTAATTATGTTCTACACTGCTGAAGGTGAAATATCCAAATGTCTCCCTATCTTCATTTGAGTAACTTTTTTTTAAATATATATTTCAATCATTTTCTCGCATATTCGTTGTGAACTGGCAATCCTCATGCCATCTTTGCTCATAACGAACTAGACATTTTTTGGATGCTGCTTATGTACCATATCATAATTACAATCATCTGGTGACATCACCTGTTCTAAATCAAATCATTTAACAAATGTACCTGATTAATAGCCCTAAACTTTTCTTGGGATATGTTGCATGTCTGAATGACAGGAAATAATGTACATTTACAAATTAAATGAAGTAGACCAGACAAAATGAAGTTAATAATATGGAAATAAAAAAACTATAGAAAGCCAATAAGGCCAAAAACTGTTTTATTTTTTCCTTGTAGTGACTTGACTTGGGAATGAAGCATTCTGCTTAGCATTAGCCATTCCATATGAGAGTAAATGTGCCCTTCCAGTTTTCAATACCTGAGAAATGTTCCGCTACCCAGATCTTCTCATCATCATGAGCTGCAGTGTCCATCATCCACGCTCCAAACGTGCTGCTCGTCTTCATCAGATGTCTGGGGTTCTGCACTGACTTTATAACACAGTCTAACCAAACACAAACACACTGTCAGAGATGCAGCTTATTAGGGGCTGTATGTAGTTATGAGGATAAGTGTAGGACATTTGGTACCATTTGTCTTCCACGATGCTAGCTTCTGGCTAAGGGTGTCGTCGTTTGGGACGGAGTTAAGGTGACCTAAAGATGAATAAATGGCTATATCAAAATATTACACGTTATGTTGCATATGGTGTAATATTATGCCTCTGTATTTATTTTAAAATTGTCTGCATGTGATCTCTTTACACCAGGTTTTAAACAGCAGTGCTATTAAAAATAAGAATGTAATTTATGTCATACGGTGCTGAGTTAAAAGCTTATTTGACTGACTGAATAAAGATATTCTGGAAGAAATAAGGACTTTTTATTTGTTATTTTTATCAACCGTTTAGTTAGGTCTAATTCAGGAATGAAGCAGCATGATAATATTAGCATAAATTTATTTGACCAGATTTAAATAAGGTTTGAAGAGGGAGGGAGATAGATTGAGCTGAATTTATTTATTTATTTTTTTCCCCCCCAAGAGTTTGCCCTTAGCTGATGATTGATTATGGAGTTTGTTTGGCATGCTGTCCTGGGAGAGAGCCCTGAACTTGAGAGAGCCTCAAGCTCCCCCCATTGCAGGGCAAGAGGGGAATCTGAGTTCAGGTAGGTCTCGAGAACTCCCCTGGTTGATGATGCTGGAAGTAGATTAATGCTATAAAGTGTCTATGCTGTCAATTTAGATGTCAATTTACTTATGTTACATGTTTTTGGTCTGTGGGAGGAAATCAGAGAGCCCAGTGAAAACCCACACTGCCCTGATAAGGAAATCAGAGGAGTAAGGGTGGAAAAGGGGATTCTTCAAGACGAAAATGGCTGAAGTAAGATACTCTGGTTATTTATAGTGGTTAAGGAGTCATCTGATTGGTAAATCAGTGTTAGCTAATGTGGACCAGGTGTTATCAATCATAAGCACGTGCTCCTCTCGAAATTAGTTAAAAAATAAACTTCACTTAGTTGTAAGCTGTTTCATTCCTATAATTTGTGGGTCAAATGCTGTTGGCTCTTGAATGTTTCTTTGTGTTTTTTACATGCTTTTACCAATATATAAAGTTGCACCTCAATGGTGTGAGCACACATTGATAAGTATGCTTCATAACATATCATAAAAAACGGTATCTTTCTGGACAAACTTGTTGCCCTTGCATTTTGGTTACTTGAATCATGTCAAAGTCCCTTTAAGGCTAGTCATTTTACTCTGCGGCCATCTTTAAAACGCCTCTTGGGCATTCTGTCTGAATGGGGAAACATCAAATTTGCAAAGCTTACAGTAACATTACATATTTGGAATCACTAATCAATTTAAACAACCATTGTTACAAACATTTTGTTTCTAATGTTCGAATCAAACTAAATCAACATTTCTTTTAGATTGGCCAAGCTACTGCGCATGTTCACTTAAAAGGAACGAGATGATGACCCAACCTAATTTATGGCCATTCTACACATTACTATCCTCTGTATAATGCTTCATCAGATTTTGATACTCTTCTGAAGTAATCCACAACTTGGTCTGAATGGCGAATCTCCTGCAGAAATGACAGTGACTGCTTGTTAACAAGTTTGTGAACGTTTGAGTAGTTGCTGTCATGTGAAGAACTGTACGTCGCAGTGGTTTCAAAGAGATTACAAAACCAAAAAAAGACTTTTGTTTTAAAGTGCACTTGGTTCATTTAAATGTACAGATCTTAAGCTTTATGTGGATATATTTCTTAAGTCTGTGAAGCAAGTATTCACTGATATTCCAATACATTTTTTGACCAAATGAACTGTCTTTAAAGTGCTTGTTTGTGCCGAGCTTCTCCTTGGAGAAACATCAGTCTATAGTGATCGATGATTGGCTCCCGTACTAGTAGGCGGGGCTTTAATCACCATATTGACCATTACACTTTTCCCCATTCAAAACTAAACGAGTGACATGTTTTGTGTATTCTAATGTTGTTCCAGTTTAAACAACTTAGTATTCATGTTGTCAGGTTTTTAAGACGCCATGATTTCATAAAACTAACTTATATAATATTTGTAGGAAAATAGTGGTTATATACTGTATATTGACGTGGTTACAAAGTTTCGTATAGTCAACAGAATATCTAAAGGGGACTAAATATATATATATATATATATATATTTTTTTTTTTTTTTTTTTTTATTACAGCTTAAAGAAATTCTGTATTGCAAGTATTTATAAAACTAATTGAGCCAAATACTACTTATAATTGTAATTTACAAATGCCATTACATTTAAATGTATATTTTTAATGAATCTAAATTTGATTATGAGATTTCTTTTTTTTAAATGACTTGGCATGATTTATCTCTTTCATTATTTTCAGACCCAGCTCACTCACCCACAGACTCCTTCCCGATAGGAAGATGTGCCCTGTGGCTCCTGTGTCTCGGTGGCCCCTGAGGCCCAGGAGGTCCTGGAGGACCAGGCGGACCTGGGGGGCCCGATGGTCCCATTGGTCCAGGGGGACCTGTGGATGAAAGCAGAAGCTCATCACATTTACATTGTTGCCATCAATGGATTTGCAAGATCTTTAGAAATGACAGAAATGTAAAAAAAATTACACAATTAATTATTATTATTTTTCAGGGTTCACCACAGCAGAAAAAAACAGTAACTATTCCCGCATATATTTTACGCAGAGGATGCCCTTTCAGCTGCAACACAGTACTGGGAAACACCTATACACTCTCACATTCACACAATCTAAAAACATACAAACTCTACAGAGGAATGCCAACTGGCCCAGCCGGGACTCAAACAATCAACCTTCTTGCTGTGAGGCGATCGTGCTAATCACTGAGCCACCATGCCAACTACAAAAGAATTTATGAAAAGATTCTCAGTTATGCAGGAGATGTGTTATAGAAGCAGCTTTTAGGTATTTAAGGCCTTTTGGCTGTGACTAAAGTCTAATAATTACCTTCTATGATAACATCATTTGAAGGTTCACCCTGTTCTCCAGGTGGTCCTGGTGGTCCAGGATATCCTGGCTCTCCTTTCTCTCCAGGCTCACCCTTCTCACCTGAAGGACCTGCCACAGGTACAGAAAAGCACAAAATCAATCATTCACAGCTCTTAGTGACATTAATTTGATTAATTTAGACATAAATAAAACAATAAGTTACTGTAAAGTGGGTCGCCTTTGCGCCATGCTGCACCACGATGTGCCATGCAGTGTCATGCATTTTAGAATTGTAAAATAAGATTTCAATCACAGTACACACAATAACACCACAAGTCAGCAGATGTTCGCGGCACCCAGCTACATCTTAGGACACTGTTTCATATTAAATAACATGCAAATGTACATGTCAGGTGAGCGTTACGTGCGCGGAGTGACGTAATGCTCTGCACAGCACATCAAGTGTGTGACCCCCTTAATAGTTAGGTTTAGGGTTGGTGTAGGTATAAACATTAATATAACAATAGGTTACAATAAGGATTAGGTTTAGGGTTAGTGTACAGTGTAGACATTAATGAAACTAAGTTACTGTATGGGTTAGGTTTAGGGTTGGGTAGGTGTAGACATTAATAAAATAATAGGTTACTGTTTATAAGTTTTAGGGTTGGGACTCTCACATGGTCGCCCACTGAAGCTAAGCAAAGCTGCGCCCGGACAGTACCTGGATGGGAGACTACATGGGAAAGCTAGGTTGTTGCCAGAAGTGGTGTTAGTGAGGCCAGCAGGGGGCACCCAACCTGTGGTCTGTGTGGGTCCTAATGCCCCAGGATAGTGACGGGGACTCTGCTCAGATACTGCTCAGTGAGCGCCGTTTTTTGGATGAGACGTTAAAACGAGGTCCTGACTCTCTGTGGTTTTGAAAAATCCCAGGTCCTTCAAAAAAAAGAGTAGGGGTTTCACCCCAGCATCCAGGCCTAATTTGCCCACTGGCCTCTGTCCATTATGGCCTCCTAACCCTCTCATATCATAATTGGCTTCATGACTCTGTCTCTGCTCCACCAATCAGCTGGTGTGTGGTCTGTCGCAAAATGGCTGCCATTGCGTCATCCAGGTGGATGCTGCACACTGGTGGTGGATAAGGAGACTCTCCCCTATTTGTAAAGTGCTTTGAGTGGCAAGAAAAATGCTATATATAATTTTAAGGAATTATTATTATTATTTTAAATAAAACAATAGGTTACTGTAAGGGTTAGCATTAGGGTTGGTGTAGGTGTAAACATTAATAAAACAACAAGTATAGACATTAATAAAACAACAAGTTACTGTAAGGGTTAGATTTAGGATTGAGGATGGTATAGACATTAATAAAACACAATAAATGTAATTTTAGGATTGGGGTAGGTGTACAGTGACTAAATCATTCAAAAGTTCCAGGAGGTTTACAAAGGCCATTTAAATCTCAAGTCACACCCATTTGGAGCTGACTTCTGCCTCTTATATCAAATTTCTCACCACATAAAAGCAAATGTATGCAGCCATTTGTATACTATTCAAAGATTTTTGAGTTATTCCTTCATCATGTTATGAAGAATTTCATTGAGTTCCTTGATAATTGATCTGCTAAATGATGCTTCAGGAATGTTCGTGGGCTCAGGACAGAGCAGTCAGTCAGCTGTAATCATGAATTCTACTTTATTCAGAAGCAGCTCTCAGATTTGCTCTGAATCCCGCTGGGGCTGAAGTAGGAAGAAAAATTCTCTCTCTTCCTTCAATGTTCAAGAAGAGGTTTGAAAGGGGGACATGTTCCTTTAAAGAGCTTTTTGACTGTACTCATTCATGTGTATGATGGCTGGATTTTCCACGTTCTGACCTCTTTTTCCTCGTTTTCCATGTGCTCCAGGCTCTCCTGGCAACCCTGGAATTCCATCTGTTCCATTATAGCCTGGCATTCCATCCACACCCGGTATACCTGCAATTTCATAAAGCGAAGTTGTTTAATTAAGTCACAATTTAAACACTTAACAACATTTATTTCAAATATTTCATACAATTAATCTTGTCATTTTTGTTTTAATTTTTCCAATATTTCCAATAATTCTATCTATCTATCTATCTATCTATCTATCTATCTATCTATCTATCTATCTATCTATCTATCTATCTATCTATCTATCTATCTATCTATCTATACAGTATACATTTGAATAATTGATTTCCTACCTGCAATTCCTGGTGGTCCTGGTGGTCCTGTGGAAGCCAAAAAATAAACCAAACAGTAAACTTGATTTTATAAGTATATTCTGAAAATAAATATGACAACCGATTCTGATACTCACCAGTCAGACAGACTCCTTTAGTACTGTTGCAAATATCCAGCAAAATTTTAACCTGAAAAAAAAATAATAATAAATTATTTATATATATATATATATATATATATATATATATATATATATATATATATATATATATATAGTTTTTTTTTCGTCATTAAATTATCTAAAATAATCCAGTAATGTAATATAACCAACCATGCATTCATTTGTTTACTGTAAAAAAATCCATTATTTTACTTTTTTTCTGGCAGATAGCGACCGTTAAATTGCAGGCATTTACCGTAAAATAACAGACAGTAAATGACTGTAATTTAACTGTCACAATCATCAGCGATCTATCCTTGCAGATTGCTGGTATTCATAGGGGTCACTATAAGGACTACAAATCCGCCGGTATATGGACTACAAGTTCCAGTCATGCACCACACACACTCACACCGGTTCCTGATATTGAATGATTGCAAACACACAGCCGGAGGATTGTCAAAAACTAATTACAAGGACTTTATATACAGTTCACACACTCACACATCTGGGCTGAGTCTTGTTATACTGTCACTGTAAACATTACAATGCGATTCCCTTGCCTTGCTTTGTAGTGTTTTTGACCCTTGCCTTGTTTAGTTTTTTACATTGTATGCTGCCTGCCTTTTGACCATGACTCTGGTATACATCTGTTTGCTCCTGTGTTGACTGTTGCTTGCCTGACCATTCTGTTTAATAAACCTGCGTTTGGATCCGCACTCCCTCGTCATCTTCCACTTCACATTACAGAAGACTCAGCAACGTGTGTGTGTGTGTGTTTGAGAGGTGTATAAGTACTCTGTGTAATTAGTCCTGAACAGCTTCAGCTGTGTCTGTTTGCAATCACGGGGATCAAGACCAGGTGTGTAAGTGGTGCATGACTGGATATGTAGTTCCTTGCAGATTTGTAGTTTTTAAGCGATCTGCATAGGCTAGATCGCTGGTGACTGTGACTGTGACATTAACGTCTGTTATTTTTCGGAACATGTCTGTAATTCAATGTCCCTTATTTTATGGACCACAGCTTTAGAAAAAAAAAAAAAAGTTTTTACAGAGTAGGCATAATGTATGACTTTAGCTTTATATTATGCATTAATTATGTATAAATCATCATAGAAACATTAAAAATTTCAATTAGTCATTAAATGTGTATTGTTCGAAATACAATTAAAAATGTTTATTGTTCTAAATACGCTAAAAATCCAAAATCAAATAAAAAGTGCTCCGGGGTAGATAATGTGTTGGTGCTCTTTGGGTAAGGGATTCATCAGAATAAACAGCAAAAGTCAGTTCAAGGCACTCGAAAAATGTGGAAAAAAAATATTAAAAAGCCGTTATTTAAATGGTTAATTCTTAAAACTGCTAGATTTAAGTAATAGCCATGTCAATAAAGGCTTTTTAATATTTTATCCACATTTTTCGAGTGGCTTGGCCTGACTTTTGCCATAAATAAATTCTTTCATTGAAAAAAAAGTCTTTAGAGGGTGTCATCTACAATTTATTCAAATTATTATAAAACATTTTTATTAAAATATATATATTAAAACAATTAAATATACAAATATAAAAATACTGTTTTAATCAGGGAGGAAAAATAAAATTACAATAATTTTTTTTACATTTGTATAATTACAATAACATGGCACATTTTTTAACTAATAACCAATAATAATATTTTTGTTAAAGAAATTCAGGCATAAAACAGTTGTGAACTATAAAAATTGGAGGGAAAAATGGCACATTAATCTATAAACTTACTATACTGTTTATAACTAAAGTTACTGGACAGGAGTTACTGTTGTCAACATTTTATTTACAATTTCCTTTAGGAAAAGAACACGCATCAATAGATCATTGATATCATAGAGTGAGTTTCTTACTGGCACCATGGAGTATGTCATCATCATCATCATTCCATCTTTTTCCTCGGTTTTGTGCTGGTAAACTGGTCCAGGCGGCTGCTGAAACGAGTACTGGAAATCACTCAGGACTTCCTCTCCAACGCTTCCCTCGTGCTCCTCAAAGGGCCGCGTCCCTCGGTGCTGCCGGCGTCGCTTGTTCCTTGAGTATTGATACTCTGCTTCATCTTCATTCACCTGCGTCATAAACTCTACCACGGAGCTCTGAGAGATCTCCACCATCTGCCTCTCCACCTCAATCAGCTGCGCCCACAAATCCCTCTGCTGTACCAGGAGTAGAACCAGGCCGGCACAGTTGATCACCGTCAATATACAAACGCTATACAGCATCCAGCGGAACTGCCAGGACATCCGGCCACCGCACTGCCTGAAGCCTCCGGTTCTTCTCAACTCAGCCAGTGGATCCAGCATTCTCAGAAATTCAAAAGTGTGTCCTGAAAACCACCAGAATAACAATACTTTTCAAAAATAAAGGCTGAAAAAAGAAGCGTCTAGAGTATTTCCCCAAAATAAAGATGAAAGAGGACAATCAGAGTCTGTCTGTGCGCAACTGAGGGCTGCTGGAGAAGAAACCCCCCGCTTGTGCAGTCACCTGATTTATATGCAGTAGAGTCCATTCTTCAGCATGACCGTGGGCTGACCAGCATAATCCACATCTACACCAGCAGCCAATGATGTGGAAGAACACCAGACATGCTGAGAGACACAGCAAGATTTTTGTAAACATTTCTCCAAAGCCAAGGGGTCTCTAAACGTCTAAATTTGGTAACACTTTACTTTAGGTCACAATTCATGCTATTAAATACTGATTTATTACCTACCTATTATTAAGATATTAACTGTTCATTAGCATTTGATCTTAATCTGCATCCCTTATCCTACCCAAAACCTGGTAACACTTATGTTGGTAACAGTTACCTGGTAACAGTTATGTAACAGTTCACTGTGTTAACAAACAATTAACTAACACTACTAGCTTAACAAACTACTAATTAGCTGTTTATTAATACTGTAGTTAGTAATATAGAAGTTAAGTTTCAGATTGTGGTAGGATTAGGGATGCAGAATAAGATCATACAACCCCAAATCTGAAAAACGTGTGGACAGTATGGAAACGCAAATAAAAAAAGAAAGTGATTTCTGAATTGACTTGCATTTTGTTGCAGACAAAACAACAAACATTATTTAATGTGTTCCTCATGATTTATTTTTTAAATTAACACGTATTCCAATTTTGGTTCTTGCAACACATTTCAAAAAAGTTGGAACAGTAAAACCACTTTGTAATGTCTTAGTAATGTCTTTGCAATGCTATTCCTTTTCACAACACTTAAAAGATATTTAGGGACTGAAGACACCAAGTGATGAAGTGTTTCAGGTGTAATTTTGTCCCATTCTTCCTGCAAACAAGTCTTAAGGTGGGCAACAGTGCAGGTTGTTGCATTTTGCGCTTCAAAATGTGCCGCACATTCTCAATTGGAAACAGGTCGGGACTGCAGGCAGGCCATAAAGGAAGTGTATTCTCTTCCTCTGCAGTCAGGACTTTGTAATGTTTGCAGAATGTGGTTTTGCATTTGTTTTGCATTGTCTTGTTGTGATATACATGAGCATCCCTGGATAAGAAGGCATAATATTGTGCTCTAAAATCTCTCTGGAATTTTCAGCCTTAATGGTGCCTTCACAGAAGTGTGGAATGAACCACCAATTACTCTGGCAAATCTTTTATGCAACAGATGTCCTTCCAATCACAATTTAGCACTGAGTGCACACTACGGCCAAGTCCCAATTCTATTTTTGTACCCCTTTCCCTTGAACCTTAAAACAGAGTGTGAAGGTAAAGGGCTTCAAAACGTACACCTAAGAAATGGGACACCAATACAGCATCTGCACACGTCATCATATGTAATCTCTTACTACATATGAGATTGATGATTATTATGTTATTCCAGTTGCGTTATTGTTTTAGTATTTATCTTTAAGAAATCACTGAAGGCATATACCATGTTATCATAAAGATATCATGTGTCAATGAGCTCGTAACTACTGTGCATTTACACGGTGGCCATAAACACACCAAAAACAACATTAACATTATACTAAACACTGTAAAAAGGTAATTCCCAGTCACCAGACTTTTCTGACAAAATAATCGAGGATCATCGAGTGGCAGATGTAAAAGTATGTTGTGGGAATGCTAAGGAGATATTATTATGCATTATAAATAGCAAAATTTAACGAACGCCATTATAAATATATTAAAACATGTGCTTGTTCGTTGTAAAAATTCCTAACAATGACAAAAAATACTACTTTGTGGATCTCTTTACTTCCGGGTGCATCGATCCTGCCATTGTGGCTGGTGTATTCTGGGAAATTTTCTTACCCCTTGGTTTCAAGTGTGGTCCTGAAAAATCTTTGTTATGTTCCTTTATTTAGAGTGTATGTAAACTTCTGGTTTTAACTGTAGATATAGATAATTGTAGAAATCACATTTTAAGACATTTTTTTTTGTAAATAGTAAAATAGTTTTAAAAAATTATATAAATTAAACTTATGCAATCTGCACTCAGGAATAAAAGTACAAAGACTGTCACGGTGGATGGGATACAAAAGCATACTATTTATGGAACCAGCTTTAGTATAATTTGTGTATGATAATAGACATGCACATAGCTTATTCAACAGTTTTTTAAAGGAATAATAATATATGCAGTCATGTACATGTTTTGACAGCTGATATGACAGCCTGATCTCACGAGAAAACGTAAGTATTTTAAGTTTTGGCAGTTTAGTGGCTAATTCGTACGAATTCGTACGAGTTCAGTCGTAAGAAATTGTACGATTTTAAAAAGGAGGCGTGGCACCTAACCCCACCCCTAAACCCAACCGTCATTGGGGGATACGCAAATCGTACTAAAATGTACGAATTAGATCGTACGAATTTGTACGAATTAGCCACTAAATGAAAAAGTTACGAATTGCCGTGAGATTGTGTTGGATATGATGGTGATTTGATGCTTCGCAAAATTTGCAGACACCTTTACTGATATCAAAATACTTTTTTGATAGATAATTAATTTAAACAGCCAGTTATTCCTTATGCTGATTAAGAAACGTGAATGGTCCTAGGCTACTATAATACAGAAAATTAGCTATATGTAAACTAAATAAATAAATACTCTCGCTATTGAAAGTGTAAAGCTTGCAGCTCACAACAAATGTGGAAAGTTATTGTGTATCATATTTAACAAACCGTTTACTACAATTTTTTTTTCTCAGATGGATAATTAAATATTATTCAGATGATGTCATTAAGCTGATGTGCCGTCAGCCAATCGTTGCATTGCTGATCATTATTTCGATGATCGATAGATCTGTCCTTCACAAAACACAACACACACAGCGATGTCAGATCAGTTCATCCAGACATTTTAATCTGATTCATGAACTTGTTTCAAAAAACAAATTAGCCAGAGATCATTTATCAAGATTAAAAGATCCAGGATCTGCCAAATCATCTTAAATCGTTAAGTGAGGTACAAAGAATGAACCCCTGGATGACAAGCCCTTCCTTTTCATGTATGTGTATCTGAAAAGTACAACATAAAGTAACATATGTCAGATTTGCTCAAATTTACACATCACCCTCTAGTGGATTTGTCTTCTGAAATGTGCACCAAAATATAGCCTGTATATATCTGTATACATCTAAACTAATGCATTTTAGTTTTTGTAAAAAAAATAAAATAAAAAAAAAAGTAGGCTTAGGCATGTATTGCTAATAAGTCTGTGTGTGTAGCCAAAATTTTAGAGGACACAATTTAAAAGCATAATTATATATGAACTAGTGTAACAGCAGACAAAACTACTGACAAGAGAATTTATTCGGCTCTAAGGTGATTTTGTGAACACGTCAGAGTAAGTAAATGTCAGCAGCTGAAAGAGCCGAGACCCTTAAGCGAATTCAGATTGGTTGTTGAGTTTAAGGCCTGGCATATAATTCTTATATTACCCATATCAATCAACATGACCCACTTATGTAGTTTTAATTCAGACTTTGATCTGATGATACTGATAGCACAGTACTCTTTTTGGAACAGTCTGCCCTTTTCTATGCTTACATAATAATGAAAAACTCAGCCTAAATGGAAATGGCAGGTACTGCCAGTACTGGCTGGACAATAATAATATTAAGAATTAATATATTCCTGTCATACACAATCACAGGATATGAAAATATGAGAATCCCCTCTAATACATGCTGGTAGTGTACATGCTGAATAAAGCAGTGAAGTCTGCTGTGTTTTGTGGTCTTCTGGCCTGCAGCTGTAGGTCATTGCTGAATAAAACAGACTCGCTGGGCTACAGGCTCCATGGTTGGGTTTGTGTGATCACGCAAGAACAAGGTATCAGGGTTGAGTAGTGTCTGTACTGTACTGAGCATGTACTTATCCCGGAGGTCATATCAGTTCAGTCAGGTTCCCTCATCTCTTTAAGTATATAGTGAGTTGAGTCCAGCTTCACTGATGAACATGGCGCCACCTTCCACAGGTCTAATTGGCTTTAACCTTAAACCTGTTTTACGCTCAGCTTCTTTTAAGGTCGGTTAGGTTCTTCTGCAATAGTGTTATAATTCACCTGAAACTGTTAAAAATAGTCAGCAGATTAGCAAAAATTATTTGAACAGTATAGGTGCTCTTGAACTTGTATATTGTTTCTTCAGTTAAAGATTGCTTGTATTACAATGACATTGATAACAGCACATACATTTTGTTACAAAACTAGAACCAATATAAAGCAGTCAGTTTGTGTTGTGTTAGTGTTATGATGAGGGCATAGCAACAGAGGTGAAGTTCCAATTGTAGTTTTATTGAGATGAATGGTCTAGCAGACAGGGATCAAAACAGCAGAAACAACATCAAAGGTACCTAGCAGGCACAGGACGTCAACATGACATCAAACTGATGTGGTACCCCAATGTCGTGGGGACGTTGCATTTTTTTGGAAATACAAATTGGGTTGACGTCAATGTCCAACATCCAATCTAAAATCAACCAAATATCAAAGTCTAATGATGTTACAGCTTGAGATTGTGTGGATATTATCACTATGACGTCTATCAGATGGTGGATTTTGGTTGCCCTACCTGACGAATAAATGTCAGTATTTGATGTCAACACAACTAAAATTACCCAAATATCAACGTCATCCACTGGGATAGAGCGCTGAGTGCACAGGTGGACAGGTGACCAGAATTTGAATCTTGATTGGCACAGAAAGGCACAAACAGTTTTTTGGATGTCAAACCCAAATTTTGAATGTCTGTAGTTGCTTCATTCTGGATTCGAACTGTCTGCATACCTGTCAGGAACACAGTAATTCACTTGATTTCTAAAGTCTGAAACTATGGAGATTTAAAGTATGGGCAACGCAGTGGCGCAGTAGGTAGTGCTGTCGCCTCACAGCAAGAAGGTCACTGGTTTGAGCCTTGACTGGGTCAGTTGGCTTTTCTGTGTGGAGTTTGCATGTTCTCCCTTCGTTTGTGTGGGTTTTCTCCGGGTGCTCTGGTTTTCCCCAATCCAAATGGTCAGTCCAAAGACATGCAGTACAGGTGAATTGGGTAGGCTAAATTGTTCATAGTGTGAGTGTGCAGGAGCGTGTATGGATGTTTCCCAGAGATGGGTTGCAACTGGAAGGGCATCTGCTGCGT